TGTAGAGGCAAATTAAATGAAGACATTTATTTTTAATATCCGATTAGGGATCTAATCATGAAAGTAGGACAAAACCTTCAAGGGCCAAAAATGTTCAAAAGTAGGTGCAACAAGTGCCTCAGCCGAAATATATGTACACCCACTGTATGCAAAAACTGTCATTTGCATATGCAAATCAGATAATTGCATGCACAACTCTGGGGTTCTGTGGCCACTGTAGGCGCACACCCTGGGCTGCATTAGCACCCGTTGGCCCTAGCTTTGGAAATTTGGCCCAAATTTTAGCTGTGATTAAACAGTAACTGACTTGGGTGTTTCACCAGATGTGCTGAATGAGCAGAAGAGACCCACGTACTTTCCGTCCCTGGTTTCTCATTAAGAGGATGGTCATCAGGATTTCATGGGATTTGGGCACCCAACTCTCTTTCTGTAACAGGGATATTGGTTGGTGTTTCCAACAGGCTCTAGATCTGTCTTCTTCTCTGCTCTTATCCCTACCTTTTTTTCCCTCCCAGGGTTTAACAGGACCCGATGGCCCGCCCGGCCCAAATGGGCCCCCAGGAGAAAGAGTAAGTGTTAGAACTTAAATCCTTAGTCTGCTTACATTTATATTCTCAAGGCACTGCTCAATGGTTATTTCAAATCTCTTTGTAACTTGGTGACGTTTAGAATATTATTTGTATAGTCCTAGCACCTAGGAGCCCTAGTCCTGGACCAGTTCTCCATTGTGCTAGGTGCTGTACACCCCTTGCATGCTTGTGCACTGGGTCTAATGTTTGTATTTCAGGTGTTTGTGTGTGTTGACATATTTCACTGGTTTGTTTCTAATTGCCTCAGGGAGCCATGTATGTGCCTGGTCTTGGATGTCCTGGATAAGGAAATACCATTAGCAGACCAGATCTCAGGATACTTTGGGTGCATAACTAGCTCCTTGATGCATTCAGAGAGCCTTTGTAGAACATAAATTCAATGAACAAGCTTTCCAGGTTTATCCAAATACCATTATTAGGGATTTATTTGTGGTCTGAGTGCAGAGTCCTGTTATTTTTTCTACCACTTTTTTTTCTCAGTTGTGTAGACTGGTGTCTTTCATTAATTCCTGGGTTGTGGTCACACTTGACATGGTGACATCACTAGTTGCATCAGCATGGATGTCACAGCCTTCACAGCAAGAAGCAAGATAGATTTTTTTCATTGAAGGTAATAGCTGCTTATAGGAACTCTGCCAAGGGGCACTATGGGAAAGAGAGAGGTCTGCTGTAGGTCTTACAATGTGTTAGGTCTCAAGCTTTGTCAGTCATGGAGCAAAACTGTGCCTTTGGCTGCTTCCCATCTGTGCTGGCATTCTCCACTTGAGAATCCATCTCTGTTGCAGTCGCCTTCAATAAAAACAGAAGGTGCGGAAGGACGTTGTGCACAAAGAGGAGATAAGTAGGGGGAGGTTTGCAGATGCACTCACCTTTGACTTAACTCAGCTCCCACTGAGCGTTTTATCCTTGATTTCAGTGGGAGCACAGTTAGGCCATTTTTGAAAATCCCCACCAACAGGACCTGAGGGTCTGATCCCATGAAGTTAGGGATGCCCTCAACTTCCCTTCAAGGGGAGTTGGGGATGCTTGGCACCTCCCAGGATCCAGCCCTGATTTTCAATACAAAGAAGGCCTGGGCCACAAAAACAGGCCTCATTTGCATGATCTGGCCATATTTGCACATGCCCATTTGAGCGCACACACACCTGATATCCATGTGCAAACAGGGTACCTGAGAATTTGATGTATGCACAAAGTAACTCACGTTTTAAGCATTTAGCTGAAGCATGCAAATTCATTATTATAGCACACAACGACCTAACTGTATGTTCAGATTAGACATGTGTTCCCAGGTCTTGAAAACCTGTTTGTCAGCATGGTGCAAATTTTAGACCTGTTGACGTTTACAGCATCTTTTTAAGGTCAGCAATCCATCCAGAAAGTCTTTTTTATAGTCAGTGTAATAAAAGCAGGGGAAGAAATTGTTGAATTTGAAAACAGAGCTTTAGCAATGCAGAATTGTTATCCTAACTTCATTTCCTCTGGCCCTTAGTCAAGAAAGCACGTAAGAACTGTTGCAGTCAATGCAATACAAGCATGTGCGTACTGTCTTCAATGGATGTAAGCATGTGCTTAAAGTTAAGCACATACTTAAGTTCTTTTCTGAATAAGGATGTTTCCTAAACTTGGGCCTCTGTGGGTAAAAAGTCTCTTCTGGCTATCACTATGAACAGGTGTGCTTGGCTTATGGCAGTGTATTCACAAGAGATTTTAGCTTCTGTTACTATATTATTAAGAAATGTTTCTGTTCTCCCATAAAGGCTGCCTCTCTTGGTTAGGCAAAGAGATTCTCAAGCACCCTAATGAAAAAGTTCAGTTACTCTAGGTCTGTTCTCCCATTGACTTTAGAAGTAGGACTGTTCCTATATCAATGGCATTGTCAGCCCTGAGAAATTTTTAAACGAGAAAACAATTAATTTTGGCTATGAGATTATCTGGATTATCACCTTATTGCTGATGCCAAAGGATTTTAAAGATTTAAAAGATCAACAGATTTTAAAGGGGCTGTTTGAAGTTTAGTGTTTTATACTGTGTGTACACAGTGTAGAATGCATCAATAAATCAGTGGATCTCTGAGAAAATACCAAGACTCAGCTACTTTCTAGAACCCATAATAATTTATATTTATGTCTGAATTTAGAATGTCATATTAGGCACGCATTTTATATACTGTATCCATGGATATTCAGAAATAATATTGCCCCATTGTAAAAAATTATGGTAAGATAATTTTCCAATCCTAAGAGAAAGCAGAGTGTTATCGGGAGAATGAGTTAAGTCAGAAAATGCATTATTAACTGGTGCACCTCCACTGAACTTAATTGAGTCACACCTGACTCCAGGACTGCATATTGACCTATAATCATTGAAAAGTAGAAGGAACCTTCATTGCTATGTATTAAGGACCCGAACTTGCCCCGCTGAAGTCAATGGGAGTTATGCAATTGATTTCAGTGGGAGCAGAATCCAGGTTTAACTCAGTAGGTGTCAGGAACATAACATTTTCTTTTTACAGGAGCAGTATCTAGCCTTGTGGTTGTAAAGGTTTTAGGGTTAAAGATGAAAGTGATCAGAAGAAAACCTGAGTAATATGCAATGGGACACTGGCTGAGTTGGCATCTGCAATAGAGTTGATTTTTATCGGATTACAGCCTGTTCCTAGCAAGACACTTCTTAATGAGCCACTTGGCTCCTCAGAAATCTGTTTGCTTAATCCTCCTCCTTAAATTTAATAAGGGAAAATATTTCTAATCTGGGTTGGTATGCAGAAATCTTGGGGTGAAATGGCAGTGCTTCCTGGGATCACCAAGTAAACATTCTGACCAGCAGTTACTGGGTTATTTTCCAGGTCTGTCCATCTGTCTTATCACACTCTGTACTGGATACAATTTCAGACTCTTTTCAAATTCAGAAAATGCCCCCCAAATATTTCTGAATTAAAATAATGGTTTCCTGGCTGAGAGATTGGATGCCAAGTTTTAAACTTGAGTTGAGGGTCTTTTGGCTTCCTTTTAAATCCCTCTGAAAATAAAGGTCACTTCCATTTCCCAGACATGTTCTGTGGAACCCAAATACTTGGCCATAATATTTCAGTACTTCCATTCCTGACAGCAGTCTGGACCAGGTCATGGGAAGGCAGGAGAGAGAACATGAAGTGAAAGTCATCAGAAATCTTCTGAACTCTAAGGGCTGGTCTACACTGGGGCGGGTAGGGGGGGGGTCGATCCAAGATACCCAACTTCTTGGAGCGTAGCTGAAGTCGAAGTATCTTGGATCGAATTACCTGGGGTCCACACGGCGCGGGATCGACGGCCGCGGCTCCCCCGTCGACTGCGCTACCGCCGCTCGCTCTGGTGGAGTTCCGGAGTCGACGGTGAGCGCGTTCGGGGATCGATATATCGCATTTTAACGAGACACGATATATCGATCCCGGATAAATCGATCCCGATACGGCAGGTAGTGAAGACGTACCCTAAGACTGTCATGTTTAAGGGATCCTAGAGGAGTTAAGCACCCTTAGGCCCCTTAAAAAATCCTAGCCCATAGAAAAATCACTTCTGGTTCAGTTTGAGTTTTGGGTAGTGGCATGCGAGAGGTTTTTATCAGAACTGGTTCACCCCGGCCTCATTTGACAGGTTCTGAAAGAGGAGTACATGCTATAGCTCTTGACGGACTGGTCTCCAAACACACGCAAAATTCCTCAGTAGAAAATAATGGGGCTGTTAGGGTGTATTTGTACCGGTGTCATCTCTGAGACACCTGCAATTTATTGTCTACACTTCTGCTTTCACTTCCGCGCCCCTCCCCCCATTTCTAAACTGTACATTTAAAAAAATACTATTCTTTTTTTATTTTGTGGAGCGGGGTAAGAGCCAAGGCAATTGGAGTGCGTGGCAGCCTGACAGACTCCCCCAGACAAGCAGGAAATCCCGCGAGGCTGCTCTTCAAGTGGGAACCTGACCTTCACGCTCTTTCCCTGGGGAGTTGCTGGGAGGAAAAGGGAGCTCTAGCAGCAATTTCACAGGGGTTCTATGCATGTCGCCCGATCCAGTTTCGGGGCCTACATGTGCAATTATGTGGATGAAATTCTGAAAACCCGGGGGCTAAATTAACAATGGCATGGGCGGTTGTTCTATTTTGTGCATGCAGTCACCATGCACAATTGCACACACACACTGGCAGAATTGACTGTCTGTGTGTGCCATCATGGGAACTGCACGTGCAAATTGGGCATGGATTTTGTGCGAGCGTTTTGTGAACCTGTGGCAATCTGACCCTGAGAATCTCGAGTCAGTGAATGTAACAGACGCGCACTCCACTCACGTGGGGCTTCTTGTGTAAATTTTTACTGGCTGAGCGTTACGTTTAAAATGGCCTATAAATAAATACATTGCTTGTTGTGTGTCTGAGTCTGTCACCTCCTCATTTACTGTTCTGAGTTCTGCCTTTACCCTGGAATCGCAGCAACTGAGAACAATAGTAGCAATGCAAGTAAAGAGCTGTGGGGGCAGGTGAACAAAGCCGTTCTATCTCGCATCGTGAGCATCAATACAGCATAGAAAAATTCAATGTGAGGCCTGTGTTTGGTGCCATTAAACAAAAGATGAGCTCACTATCGCTCACGTTGAATAAGAGTGGCACATCTCCTCCTCCTCCTCCTCCTCCTCTCTTCCCTCATGCTTGTTAACATGAATAATTAAGTCAACCTTCTGTTATCGGCTGTCTGGCTGTATTTTCCTTACCCTGTCACAGCTAAACCTCCTTTCTGGTTAAGAATAGGCTAAGAACTTTGAGAACATCAGTCAGCTAAACTCAAGCAGAAACTCTTGGCAGTAGAAAAGAGGGTCAGGCTTGGGGTCTAATATTTGTGTGTTTAAACATTTCATTGACTTTTTCAAGCTTCCTGGAGCCATTGATGGCACTGAAATAACACGAGAGCTGGTCTCCTGATGCTGTTTCATTTCCCAGGTGGTAGCAATGCTATGGGAAGGCCAGATGGTGTGTTACTTGGACCAATAAATTGTTCCCCAAGACTAACAATGGTGGTGAAAAATGAAAACTTTAAAAATACTCAGCTACTGAGGTTTTGCCCAAATGCCAAGAGATTCACGTTGAAGCAGGTTTCTGTGGAGCTCCCATGCATTTCCCATGCACCGATTTGTATAAGCCCTTAGTTCCTGGGTACCTCACAGCTCCCTAAGTTATGCTCTGTAGACAACGATCCTGTGTGCGCATTCCTGCGTGTGTGTCAGTCATTTGAGATAAGAAGTAAACTATTCCATTTTCACTGGTAGATACAGGAGCATCTAGGGAGTGGAACTCGTTCCCCCAGGATGTCTGCTTTAGCTCATCCCCTTCCCATTTTTCCAAAGACCTCTGAAAATACTGAGCCACATCTTTGACTGAGCCTTCGAGCTCCCTTCTGTGCTGCCCAGATCCTGGTGTGGTTATGCACCCGGCTGGTCCTTGGGTGTAACTTAGAGTGGCCATCAGTGACCCTGTGGGGCTGATACAGCAGCTGGGAATTGCTGAGCTGTAGGGAAGCCCCAGCCAAGTTCTGGTTTCCCTGCACGTGCCTCCTACACTGACTCCAAGGAGGGAGGCGGGGGTCGTGTTGGAGCCGTATTGCTGGAGGATGCCGCTGTAGGGCTGCTTTGGGCAGGCAGGGTGGCAGAAGGCTCACATTAATAGCCGTGTTGATTTCAGTGGGGCTACTTGTCAGGGCGAGGGTGCATGTGTGTGTGATCTCAAGCCCAGAGAGCTTGTATTTAAACCTTATCGACACAGTAGTAACCAGCACCTGCTGTCAGCCGCAGTCAAGCGTGCGATTCCCTGATCTGTCCCCACCTTCCCAGGTGGAAGATAACCTTTGGTTCCTGTAGTTACCTCCTTATACAACAGCAACGGCTGCTCCACACTACAGGACTCCCAATTTAGCCCTTTAGAAATTGAATTGGGATTTTAGGACCTGATCTTGCAAGGTTAAAATCTGTGCCTAAGCATGGGAGAAGTCCCACTCAGGCATTAGTATGCCATGCAGACACATCTCTGAATTCTTCCTTTGCTAGGAGCATACCATGCTATTTCCTAGGGAACTCTTCATTGTTACGGGTGTCTTGATGAAGGTCATTTTTGATATGACAGTAGACAGCTAACGAGGGGTGCGTCAACTGCAGTGTAAGCCCGGGACTATGGGACCCAGGCTTGTGGACTAGATGTTTCCAAGCCCTCGCTTGAGCCTCCGCACTGCATTGTAAACCTGGGTTTGCAGTTGCTGAATTTGAGTCTCCCAGCCGTGCTAACATCCATAGTGCAATATGAAGAACTTCTGACTTGGGTCTGTGGCTTGACCTGTGTCCACACTGCAAAATGACAGGGCTAAGACCTGAGTCACTGTGTGACTTGGGCTCTGACCCACCTTCCCCCCCACAACCTGGGCCCTGAATACTTGCCGACTGGAGTCAGATTGATGTGTGTGTGGACGGAATGGGGGCTTGGGCTCAAACCTGACTTGGAGCCTGAGTTTAGTGTGCAGTGTAGATTTTAAGGTAGGTTAATTACACAGGCAAACGGCTGATCCTGGGCATATTGGCACACCATAAAGTTTTGCAAATCCCAACCTGCAGGAGTGAGGACTCCAGAGTCGCTAAAGATGTCATGTCATGGAGTTTTCTCAGAGAAATACAAACCTGTTGCCAGTTTTTAAAGGGTGGGGATGACAACCCTGTTTGACATTACAGTCCGCTGGGCGTGGCATTAGTATCAACGATCATCTATGCCATGAGACTTAGCGTATTGCTGGCTGATGTTTTATTTATAGTCAGTACCGCAGTGTGCTTATAGATAAGCCCTCTGAGTCTCCAGATATTTGTAGGGAAGACGGCTGGCGAATTGTATGATTCAGCACGCACCATTGAGCACAGTTGCTTACTCAAACAGAAGGGAATGTGTTTGTCCTCAACACCAATGTGAATAAGCCCAAATCTTTCCTGTAATTTCACATGGCAGCAAGGGCAGAGATGAAGTTACAGGAGGCCTGCCATTCTGTAACCCATTGTGTTCAGTGGCTGTAGAATCACCATGCAGGGAACAGTGTTTTCTTCATTCATTTTTCCATTTCCATTTAATCTGCTTTGGAGCATTAACCAATGACTAATTTCATAGGCTGTTTCCAGCGTTGGCACCTTCAGAACACCACAAAGGGATTAAAAAAGCCCAGCTGTCTTTCTTGTTATCTGTAATGAAGCAGGAACTTAGCAACTTCAGTGATTTGATTTTAGAATAAAATTTAAGATTGCAAACATGCTCAGAAAACTGTAAATCAGGCTTAAGGTTTGGAATGCAAAAGCGAGAGGGAAATAACACCAGAATAGCTAGCAAAAAGAGACAAGTCATGGAATCTAAACATCTTTGCTTGAAGGGGGAAAGTATGAATTAATAAAATGCAGTACAATTGGGTCCCAATCCTGTCAACGATTTCAAATATAGCCTTCGGGTCCACAGCATGAAGTAATTATGAAACGGGACGTTTCAAATGGGAGCCAGTGAGATTCACTCTATCTGTAGCAAACTTTAAAGATTCCCAGTGACCAATCTGTGGCGTGTTGTGGTTTCCCATATTTAGTCTCACTTATTGGAGTCTCGTGTTTTAATATCGGCCCACAGATTTTTCTAAGAGAATAGGGAAGAGGTTCCTGGAGGCTCTGTTTTGAGCATCAAGAACATTCTTGAATCATTTAACTAATCAGACATGTCAAAGGGTCTTTTACTCATGTCTGTGAACTCAGTCTCGCTTTTCCATGTGCGTGGTGTAGATGGAAGATGTGTAAGATGGAAGGTGACCCCATGATCTGGTGAGTTCTGGATGGTATGAGCCAGCAGACTGACATCTGGATTGGAAACTCCCCTTTTACTTCTGTGGAGAGGCCTAACCCTAACTCATATTCTGATGTTTCTAATCCTACAGGGGGCTTTAGGACCTGCAGGACCGCCTGGACCAGCTGTAAGTAATTCTGAGAATTTGCAGACTTGTGTAGCTTAATATAGGTGCAGAATTCCCCATAGTAAAGTACTAGCAAAGCCCGTTTTGATGACAGCTATCTCATTGTGAGGGTCAGATCACAGGGCAAGAAAAGATGTGGGACTTGTCTTGAACCAAACATAAGGGCTCAAAGATGAAAAGAGATCATGTACTAAGTAGAGATGTTGACCGGGAGGGGGCTGTATTAAAATATATATATTTAAAATATAGAAAACCAGTTCTAGCTGTCAAAGGCTTGATCCAAAGCCCACTGAACTCAGTAGGAGATTTTCTATTGCTTCAGTGAGCTTCGGCCCAACATTTATAAATTACCCAGCGTGGTTCCTGTCAGCAGTGGACATATGCCAACTCCTTGGGCATTGCGCTGGACGAGATAAGGTCTTTTCCAGCCTGTAAAAAGGAGCTGTCAGAATGTTCAGCCTGTTGAACCATCCAGCTGGTTAAGCATCCTCAGAGACTTTATAATAATTCTGAAATCCACACAGCTGTGTTAGAAGATCTCTTTATTTACTGGGGAGTCACATTTAACCATCGCTATTTGGACCAATGGTATTACAGAAAAATTTAGAGCTAAATCCACATTGATCAGTACTGATGTCTTAGTAACAAAGCCCCTCAAAAAGCCTACCGGGAAATTAAATGATGGGCATGTGTTTAATTCCAGATATAACCTCTCCACTGAAATACTGCATTTAAAAAACCTTGGCTCCTTAAAGCTGAAAAATCAAATAGCCTTTTCCAAGGTGATGATTATTATGATATTAAAAATCCAGCTTCTCAGCCCAGGGAGCTAACAGGCATGACTAACTCAGTGTGCAACGTCAGCGCATGCTACTGACACCGCTGCTCCTGCTGGTCCTCTCTTCTTATGAGCAGGAGGCAGAATATCGAGGTGCACAAAGAGTCAAGCATTCCGGTTGCTTGTCAGTTTCAATAGACTGTCCGCTCCCGAGGTCAGAACGGGCGAGATGGGATAACATACCTCGCCCACATGTGACATGGCCTATGTTGTACTGAAGGTCAGACTAGGTGATCACAGTGCCCCCTTGTGGCCTTGGAATCGGTGATCTCTTGATGACATCGTAAACTCTGTGTTTACGGGCCAGAAGCCGGTCACACAACTCGGTCACATAACATTAACTCGGTCACAGTCCTTATTTTGTCGGGGATGGTAGATTTTTTTTTTCATATCCCCAGAGAGATGGTTTTATTTTAATGTAGCTTTTAACAGGTGCCAAGAGAAGTGACTCCCCAACAGCAAAAGATTTGTAGAGAAAACTAGGTAAAAAAAAAAAATGGAGGGGAGGCTATATTTCTACCCTGATATGTGCACATGACCCGTTGATGGGTCACTGGATGAATCTTGCAACAGAGAATAGCCCACGGGCAACAAAGAGGAAAAGTGAACACAAAATACAGATGACAAATCTAGGTAGGGTGACCAGACAGCAAGTGTGAAAAATCAGGACAGTGGGTGGGGAGTAATATGAGCCTATATAAGAAAAAGTCCCCAAAATCGGGACATCTGATCACCCTAAATCTAGGATTCAGTAACTGTCTCTGGCTCCACTTTCTGACTAAATTAGAATAATAGGTGCTAGGGGAGTGTTGGGTGGGAGGGAGTGGTGTTTTTTGATACAATGATCCACTCTTTGTGTGGTCAGTTTCCAAATGATCTTTCTTTGTTTTAAATTTTGTTTTCAGGGCAAAGGACTGCCAGGCCCTCCGGTAAGTAGCAGCACCTTTCCCAGGGCTGGTCTACACTACAACATTGGATCAACTTTGCTACATTGCTCAGGGGTGTGAAAAATTCACTCCGCAGAGCAACATAGCTAAGTTTTAAGAGTAGATCAGGCCTCAAAAAGGGGGTTTAAATTATTACATTGGTTGTGTTCTAGTTCGGTATTTTTTCCAAAACCCACCCACAGACCCAGATCCTTGGGTGCTCTGAGCCACGCAAAATCCAGTGGGTGTGAAGCCATGGCTAAGGGTGGCCTGATGCACCCTTTACACTACTGGAGGCCGGTTTGGCCTCTGATGTGAATTAAAGACGCCACAGGGTGCAGCAGCTTTGTAACTGGTGGGAACATTTCATTGCTTTCCCCTGGACAGGACAGGGCACAGGTAGCCAGGGAGTGTCTGTGTTTGTATAGAGAGCATCTGGCCAATGAGGTGATAAGGTGTGTAAGGGAGGGGTGTAAGATTGGATCAGTCCCTGAGTGGGAGGGGTGAGCAGCATAAAGTGTTTGCTTTTGTACTGTGAGGGCTCTGCTGGGTAGCAGCATGGGTAATGTTCTAGCTCTATTTTACAGGGGCCTCCAGGAGCCAGCGGACTCCCGGGTGGAAACGGACTTCAGGGGTCACCTGTGAGTTTCCTTTGCTGTTTAATTCCCATTGATTGAACATCCTGCAGCCACGGAAGAACAAGGTCTATTTCTGGCCTCTTGCTGCACTTGGGAAGGTTAATGAGAGTATGACACCACACTTGCTCTGTGAATAGGCCAGCAGGAGATGCCATTCCCTGTACTGGCTAGTGCGGTGGGTATGTGTCAGCTACCATTCCAGAGCTGCTCAAGTGTTCAATCAACTCGCCCTCTAGTGTCTGAAGTCTACACGGCATGTAAGCTGTAACTGCGAAGGAAGGCTTTGTTTCTCATGCTACATGTGTGCAGGTTAGCTGGTGACAACGGCGTCCATTCTTTGTGGCAGGGGATTTGTCACACCTGGAGCTCAAGTGTGTCACTGGCATGAAGCCATTTAATACATTGCAGTCATGCACAAAATTTACATTCACATTTCGAAGTACAAATCTTGAGGACTTATGCCTCGGACTGAAGGAAGGTGCAAATACTCAGATTTGTCCTTGCAATTCCTTTGGCAGGCACGAAAGCATCTGCAGAAAGAGACACCGGGGCTCAGTCCTCTTCTAGACATGTCCCCTTATGCCACATTAAAAAATGTGATTGCACTTTCATTTCTTTTCAGATTTTCAGTCAAGTTATTAATATGGTGAAATTGTCCCAAGAAAACCTTCTTATCCTCATTCATCTCATATATAGTATTTGGGGCCTGCCCCACGCCCATTGGATTGAATGACAAAATGTCTGTTGATTTGACTGGGAACAGGATTGGATCCGTCAGTGAACTCTTTTTTCCCAAGAGAGATTCTACAGAGGGTGTATATGGGAATTCTTCTTATTTCTCATCCTTTTAGGGACCATCAGGTCTTCCAGGATTCCCAGGACAGCCTGGACCTCCAGGGCCTCCAGTAAGTTGCGATTTTTCCATGTAGAAAGCTAAACTTGGTGTGATTTTTGGAATCTTCTTCTCGTGCCTGCGAAAGCAGCTGACAGGGCAGTTGCATTTTATTTGCTGTTTTAGGTTCAAACTCCCACTTAAGTTGAAGTGTTCCCTACACGCTAAAAACAATGCATTAGAGCAGTGGTTCTCAAACTTTAGCAACCCGAGGATCCCCATTTTGATTTTAAAAATGTTACCAACCCCCAAGCCCCTGCTCAGCCCCAGGCCCTGCCCCCACTCCACCCCTTCCCCCAAGGCCCCGCCCCACATCTTCCTGTCCCCGCTTCTCCCCTACCCCCATCTGCCAAGTGGTGTGTGACTTGGGCAAGCCATTCAACCTAGTGCTGCTTCCATTTTACCTCCCTGTAAAAGGAGAGTAAATATATTGACCTAGCTAACTCATGAATGTCTGTGAAGTGCTTTGAGGGGCTTGGATGAAAAAGGCAATACAGAAGTAGAAAATATCTCTGTCAATAAAATATGTTTTTTGGAGATGACATTTCCTTTGGTGCTTTGTGTTGATATATTTAAAAGTCCAAATGTTCTTGGTTATAGGGTCTTCCAGGGGTTCTTCCTGATGGCAGTGGAGACCTTCAGGTAGGTTTTTCTTTATATTGTAGCAACACATTGTTAACTTAACCCCTTAAACAATTTTTGATGTATGGATTTGGGTGAACATAGGTCTGTTTTAATGTGCAAGGGCTAGATCATGCAAACATGCCTGGGAATAGCATTACCCATTAAATTAATGGAGCTGTTGTGTGGATAATGTCTTCCAGGTGCATGAGTATTTGTCCAGGGCCTTGGACTCTTTCAAGTATGCAGATATTTTAGTGCTGTTTCAGGATATTCCTTTGTCATTTTACTTCAGTTTGATCCTTGCTTCCCTACTCTTGATTTTGCATATGTTTGATCCCGTGCCAGTTTAATAAAAACAAATTTTAGCATTTGACAACTGATGACAATTTTTCATGCATCTGTTTCAAACAGAAAAGGTCAAATTTGTTTTGCTGTTTATTTCCATGGGCAGCAGCACCTTGCTCCCATGGGCATAATCCTTGTTTGTTCTTTCCTTTTTGAGCAAATGTCTTGATTTCTTTATTTCAAAGGAATGAAACAGACATTAAGGTAACGAGCGATATAAGTGACATTTCAAGATTTCCCAGCTGTTGTTATGACAGCTTTGTTGCTTTCCTAATTAGAGTACTCCAAAAAAGCTTCTGTCTTGTTGACACTGCCTTTTGGGAAAGACTTCTGGAATATAATAGAAAATAACTTTTTGGTAATTTTTTAGGCCACTTTATAGAATTTAATAGAAAACTATCTCCCTGCTACAGAATTATATACAAAAGTAAAAAAACCTAAAATAGAAAGATCTCATTCTTTATTTTCTATATAGAATCCTCTTAAACTTTTATACAGCTTTTGATTTAATCCCTGTGAAATTCTCGAAGACTCTCCCATGTGGGCCAGACGCAGCTTGAGAATCTGTTGATAGTTTGCTTCATTTTTAACTCAATTCCCATTCCTGTAAACTTTTATGCATGAGCTTTTCCTTTGATTGGGTGAGATCAGTACAACTTCGAATGGGAGTAAAGTTAAGTGTATTCCTAATTGTTTGCATGACCGAGCCCAAGTTTTCCAGTAGAGCAAGATCAGTGGACATGGTCTGCTGTAAATAAATATCCTTGTTCTTTTTAAAATACGGTTTAGGGCCTGATTCAAAGCCCATGGAAGTGAGTATTGATGTCTCTAGGCCCTATGTTTTCCAGACTCAGCCAGGTTTGCAGTCAATATTAGGAAGTCTAGATAGAAGAAACCGTATTACTCTCGATCCAGGCATGCAACTCCCATTGACATGTACAGTAGGTGATTGGCTTGGGTGATGCAAAAGAAGAAGGTTTTCTAACCATAAGAGGCATGAGGTTCCAATAGGAACAGTGAGGTCAAATAACCTAACAAGTTTTGAGATGGAGCTTGGTAAGTTTATGAACAGGATTCTGTGCTGGAGTTGCCTGTGATAGCAGGGGGCTGGACTCATGACCCAGGAGGTCCCTTCCAGTCCTGAGTTCCTAGGTATACGTTCATAGGAGATGTCTAAAATTGAGTTGGGGCTTTATGGCCTGGATTACAGAATTCATCCATGTGCCCAGCTTTGTTTCATGTTTTGCTCCCAAGCCCCTGAGGCCACCTGCTAAGTTTAGACTTGAGAAAATCCTCTCCTGTTGTTGAAAGGAGCTATGAAGTGGCAGTCGTTACCTCTTTTGTGTGTTAATCAGTCTCTCTAATTAGGCCACAGAACAGATTCCAGCATCACAGGGAGCAAACCTGGAGGTTATTAACTAGAACTGGACTAAATATTTCTAAAATTTTGCTGAAAAATGTTGATTTTTTTTTCATGAAATGTTCAGGTTTTTGGAGGCAGTGTTGCCTAGTAGATAGAGCACTGGATGGGGACTCAGGAGATCTGGGTTCTATTCCCAGCTCTGCCACTGGTCTTCTGGGTGACCTAGGGCAAGTCACTTCATCTCCCTGTGCCTCAGTTGCCCCATCTGTAAAATGGGATAGTGATACTGGCTTCCCTCTGTAAAGTGCTTGAGTTCTACTGATGAAAAGTGCTATAAGAGCTACAAGGTGGGGGAGGTAATATCTTTTATGGGACCAACATCTGTTGGTGAGAGAGACGAGCTTTCAGGCTACACAGAGCTCTTCTTCCAGTCTGGGAAAGGTACTCCGGTCTGGTCTACAGTACAGACGTATATCGGGATGAGTACTTCGCTCAGGGGTGTGAAAAATCCACACCCCTCAGCAATGTAGTTATACCAACCTAACCCCCCACGTAGAGAGAGCTGTATCAGCGGAAGAGTTAATCCTCTCGGGGAGGTGGATTAACTATGCAGACCGGAGACCTCTCTCCCCTCATCTTCATGAAAGCATTACAGCAGTGCAAACTGTCCATGCAGCGTTTTAAGTGTAGACTTGCCGTCAGTGTTACACGGCAGAACATTCAAGATGAATTGGGCAGGTAACACACTGAGTACCTTTCCCAGACTGGAGGAAGAGCTCTTGTAGCTCCAAAGCTTGTCTCTCTCTCTCTCTCTCCAACAGAAGTTGGTCCAATAACAGCTATTACTACGTCCCCCCCCTTGTCTCTCTCATAACCTGGAACCGACACGGCTACAGCAACCCTGCAAATAATATAGAAGAGCTAGGTATTAGTGTTAGTATTCTTGACCAGCATATTTTCCCCCTCAATAATAATGACACCCACCTTGCTCCAAACACCCATTGTCTGCTAGCTAAACCCACGGATGTTTGTTTTGTGCAGTGCCCCGCTCTCTGCCCCCCAGGCCCTCCGGGTCCTCCAGGAATGCCAGGATTCAAGGTAAGAAAAATATCCTCTGTAAACACAAGGAGTTGAGTCCCAGAACGTGTGGCAGCGGGTGGCCCTGTGGCTGAGAGCAGGACTCAGGTTTACACTGTACAAAGTACACTACAGTCCTCCTTTATCCGAGCCGGTGGGTCTTGGAGTACGTTACCCAGACACAAAATGCCACCAGCTTTTATTTTCAAGAGACAAGTGAAGGATACAGGCCCCATCCTGCTCTCAGCACATGGCATTCCCATTAACATCCATGGGAATTCCAAACGCTCAGGGCTTGATCCCGCCAGGTGCCCCAGTCCACCAAAACACTTAACCACACCACACACACCCCCATTGATTGCAGTGGGAGAATTTGCAGTGCTTAAGTGCTTTGCTAAATCGGGGCTCCGGGTCCTTGCAGGATTGAGCTCAGAGTCTCTCTTTGTTAGCTGTAACTTTGACTGTCTCCACTGCAGCTGGGAGGGTGCTCCCTAGCGCACGAAGACAGACATACTTGCTCTGCTCCAACTAGTGCGCTAAAAATGGGAGTGTGTCTGGGGTAGCAAGGGCAGCGGCTCAGGGTAGCTACCTAAGTACAAACCCACCCAGACCCCCCTGGGCATGTCTCAGGCAAGTAGCCCGAGCTGCTGCCCTTGTTACCCTGCTCTTTTTAACATGCTAGCTGGGGCAACGCTAGCCCATGCCTGCCTCCCCATCCCCTTAGAAACACATCCCGGGTTTTTAAAGTTCACTTATCACTGTGATGCAGAGATACCTATTGTATTGTGGAGGGCATAACTCACATGACCAAATACCATTTCACCCTATTTCCTGCCTACCGTAGAACCCAACTGCTCCTGGGTTTACAATGTGCTGCTGCAGTATGTACATTCAAGGCTACAGGGGGCGTTCAGCCGCACTGAAAGGCAATATCCCTCACTTCCCATCCCCCACCTTGCACGGATTGGGTACCGAACATATAGTTCATCTGTCTGGTGGGACCAAACCTCAGCTCAGCTTCTCAATCAGCTGCTCTGGTGCAGAGCTGGGGGAGTTCAGTTTCTCTAATCCTTGCAGCAATATTTAGCAGATGTAGAGGGCCAATCCTGCAGGAGGCTGAGTGTCTCCTGGGGAAATACTGGTGTCCTTCAGCTCCCATGGAATTCAGCCCTCTGCGGGAAATGCTCAGCTCCCCAGAGAACTGAGAGATCGTTAGAAACACATACAGTCAACCGTTAGTGGTAAGGGGTGAAATTCAAGGCCCGCAAAATAAGAAAGTCTCCGAATAGGGCTTAAGTAATGGATAGGTCCTGAGCTGATCCTCTGCACAGTGAGGAATTTCACCCGCTCACTAGTATTAGTATGGTCTTTTGCCACAATAGTAGTGGGGATGGAAGGAAATGAAGCAAGGCAGAGTTTTATATCCAGCTCGTTCGAGTGTATATGGGTTCATTGCCAGCCTGATGGGGTTGCCGTAGCTGTAATAATAAGCTGTGGAAGATTTAATACCCTTTTGCATGAATGGGCTTTAAAAAAAAATGTAAAGACCTAGGGTAACATTTTTCAAAAGCACCCAAACCCCATTTTCAAAAGTGACACAGGGCAACATTTTCAAAAGCACTTAAGACCCATTTTCAAAAGTGACTAGGACTTTTGGTTCTCAGTCACTTAGATGCTTTTGAAAATTTTATCCTTAGGCATTTAGGAACTGTAACATGGGCAGCCCCCTCGTGGCCAGAGATCACTCTGTGGTGCCCTGCCTCTGTTTCCCTCTCTTCAGGGCCCTTTCAGAATTCACAGTTCAAAGGTGGTTCCCATTTATTTAGTCCTTTGGTATATACCAGCACCAAGCAGTTCAGTGTCTCTCTCATGACTAATCCCAGATAACACAAACTCTCACAGCCTTCATCCCAGCTGGCCTTTACTGTCTCTCCCCTCTGTGCACAAGGTCTCTCCCAGACCTCCCTGCCTTGACAGCTTTCTCCCACTCTCTCCTGCTTCTTCAGCATTTCCCTGGCTGACTCAGGGCCCTGCAGTCTCCTGGGCTTCCCCACCCCACATCAACTTCCTGCCCACTTTTTCCCCAGGATCGCCTGATTCAACCTAGGTGTGGCTAGTCCTGTAATCGGGGCTGGCTTAACCCTTAGCTCTCCAGTCCCTGGGGCATGTCACCCTGTTACAGGAACCTAAAGCCTCCATTGGAAGATGCTTTTGAAAATAGGACTTAGGCATTTTTGAAAATGTTACCCATCCTTCACAATTTTAGTAGAATACATTCCAATAGACACGGACACGTCTTGATCAACTGCTTGTCTATCCTAAATGCAACACCCATCCAGGAAATGAGGAATGATGCTACACAGCAGACGTGTAAATTCCTCTCCAATAACTTCAGTCAGTTCCTTGCCTTGCTTTAAATCCTGTGTCCCTCTTATATAGCTTAGCCTGCCACAGAGCAATAATGAAACTCTCAGCTCATTCTTGATTTTATTTTTAGGGGCATACAGGCCACAAAGGAGAACCTGGGGAAATAGGAAAAGACGGTGAGAAGGTAAAACTCTGTTTAAAGAAAAAAATTAGATTTTTTTTTTAAAGCATAAGACCAAGGGATTTCTCTCAGGATGATATCAGGGCGGAATGAGACAATTGGTTGGACAGCAAGGGAAAGCCCGTTATTTGATTGTACGTGGCATGTGGACTGAAGATCATTAGCCTCCATCATTTTGTGTGTGAGAGAATATTTCAGCTAAAAAAAATGAATCATTTTTATGATCACAAATTTCAAGCGAGGACTCTAAATTGGCACCTGCAGTTTTGCTGTGCCTGGTTTTGCAGCTCATGCAAATGCTGCATTGATCACACAAGTTGGTTAGTTAGTTGCCTTCACTCTCTGACCAATTGACAGAGACGCTATTTGTGGGTGGAAGAAATTGCATAGAGGCAGAACGTGAGGCCATAGTTTTGGTGAGGGAGGGTCCGGGGAAGGGATTGGTGGGGAGGGTTAGCATGGAGAAGATTCTTGGGAAGAAGGTTACCAGGATCTAGGGTGAGATTTATCATTGCATCTTGTCTAACTCTCTGGTTTTCTATCCCCAGGGAGACGCAGGCCCTCCAGGTCCTCCGGGGATTCCAGGCAGTGTCGGCCTGCAGGTAAAATCTGCCTTTCAAACCAAAGCAGTCCCCGATGCTCCCCCCAGTCACGCAGGGTTTCAGTGTGAAATGCGAACGGTTGGGGTCTGTCCATGTGGCTCTGGGATCAAGTCCCAGGCCAGCCCCTCTCACCCATTGTGGACACGGCAGTGCGCTGCTGGTAACAGACTGCACTGAGGGCCTGATCCAAAGCCACTGACGTCCATGGAAAGACTCCCTTTGACTTGCATGGGCCTTGCTTCGGGCCTGGTAGTGGTGCCATCCTGTGGATGAAACATTCAAGTGAATATCCATCTCATGGGCCCAGGTGGAGGCCTAAGGGCCCATGCCATGTTTGAATGGTAATGGGACTGAGCTCTGCACTGGGTCGTATGGATCCCCATGGTAAAAGCGTGGCTGCCTCACAATGCCGTCTGGTGGCCTCAGTGCAGCCCTGCACCCAGCACCTCAGCTCAGTTTCCCTTCTTGGATCTCCAAATAAACCCCACACAGGGTTTTTCCAGTGCTATCACAACCGCCCTTCTTAGGGTCTGATTTATTAACTTAAAGTTCAAAGCGAAACACACAAGTTTTTCCTCCAGCCTTCAGCTCGGTACAGCCCAACCCCCACCCACACCTCCATCCCAGTCTGGTCAGAGTCCTTCCTGCCTTAGCAGGCTGCTCCCAGCACTTCCTAGCTGTAGCAATTCCCCTGGTCTCTGGGTTTTCCCAGCAGGCGCCTCTCTCACTACAGCCTCTTGAGCATCCCCCATGTTGCTGCCTCTGTCGGCTATAAATAGAAAATTGCCTGGTTCCCCTCAAGTGGGGCTCATTCTGTCATCATGGTTGGCTTGTCCTCAGGCTCCCCAGCCCAAAGGCAAGTCCCCCCACACCGTTACACCCCCCCTCCCTGAATCTATCCCTCCCCAACAGAAGAACCAGACTGTATTATCTCAGTCTGAGACCTCTCTGCTTTGGGGAGATGTTCTTGGGGACAGGGTTTGTCGTCGTCCCCAAATCCCTTTGCTCATCACTGTTTCTTAAGGCTTCTTTGCCTTGGCTTTTAGGTTTTCGCTTCCCCGACTTTATCTCTTTCCATTTCACTGTTTTATATTTGACTGATTGGCTTTTAACGGATTGTTTTTCTCACCTAGGGGCCAAGAGGGTTAAGAGGCCTCATTGGCCCAGAGGGTCCAGTCGGGGACAGGGTAAGTAACTATCATCTTCTCCAGACTTTCCCCTGGACTTTTCCCTCGTTAAACCCATGCAGAATAAAATAAATTAGCCATTAGAGATCACTGCCTCTAGTTAATTTCCTGTCCACGTCCTGCAAGAGCAAAGCTCTTGGCAGCTATTAGACACTGTGTGAATAAAGTTACACGTGGCATTACTTCCCGTTGCCCTGTGGGATGACTGGACAAGGGAAGCCCCATGAAGGTGAAAACTGTGGGCCTAATCCTGCAAGCTTTCCAGGCAGGGGACTCCCTTGAAGACAGCGGGAGTTCTGTGCATGGGGTATCCACAGGATCGGACCCTATCTTAGAGTAATAATCTAAGCGTGGGGGGAGAAGCTGATCTCCTGTGACGATACGAAGATGCTGTTGAGCCTTGCAAAGGGCTGGGGAATGGAACATCTTCTGAATGTTTTGCATGTGATTCCCATCTGGAAAGAGAAGCTGAAGAACCAATGGGAGGACAAAGATTTTTTAGAATATGGCGGGGGGGGGGAAATCATGAACATTGATGTCCTACGGTGTCCAATCCTGTACCACTGACTTCAGTGAGAGTAGGATCAAGCCCTTACTGAACAATGGTGACTGACCAGCATGGTCTTCTTCGGGTGTGCCTGGACATTAGCTCAGGGGTTAACAGCTGAGTTTGAAGATGCCATGTCCTTCTGTAGGGCCAAGTACGTTACCAAGGCTTCACAGCTGTGAGTGTTATGAGTCTGGTGAGGAGATAACAGCAAGGAGACCCAGAGTGAAAACCTGCTGGTTTAGACCAAGTTCCTCTGCTGGAGTCTATTAAGATCCTAACAGTTATTAAGGAGCATGTTGCAACTTTCCATTGACATGCATGTGCTTTCTTGCTTTGTAAAAATAATTCAGGTAGGGGTGTGGCTAGGTTGTCTGGTCCAGAAGAGTCCAGATGGCCGCATTTTAATGCTGTCTTATTGTTTTTAGGGACCTATTGGTTTCAGAGGGCCACCAGGACTCCCAGGACCTCCAGGGAAAGCAGTATGTATCCATTCTTACTTTATTTCCTTTGAATCCTCATGGCCATGGCCTCTAATGTCACTATTGATGCCTAATGCTTGCTTTCACCAGGCCAAACCTTCCACTGCCAGTGAACAACAGAACCGCCCCGTTCCCTCACCAGAAAAAACACGTGTGTTGCATCAGCACAGCGCTTACTGTGCACACACAATTGTATTTCCATAAAAACCTTCCTGGTTCTCACTGGTACCTCTCCCATCTGATTTTGGATTGTTCCCATCTTCCTCAGCCCCTTATTTCCACGCCCCCAGAGCTACATCATCTCCCCTGCCCCAGATTTCATGCTGTCCTCCCCCAACCACCGACAAGTTCTCATTCTGGCCCTCGTAGGTTCAACACCTCCCATAGTTCTTCCTTGTCCACCTTTCCCCCCACACACACACTTCAGCAGATGCGGGCTCCCCTTTTATGTGCTTTGTTCACACCTTCTACACGGGGAGATGTTCCGCTTGGTAAGAGGAGGCTGAGCAAGCTCCACGTCTGCTCTCCTGCGGTTCCCTCCTCTTGGCCAGATCCATGTTTAGCTCCCATCCCAGAAGACCATTTTTCCCCAAGGTAAAATATTCTGCTCTGTGCCAAAGATGCAATTACACATCATTTTGAACAAATCCTGAGTGAATGGGATTTGTACAGAACTGTGATGGGCTTGGGGCTGGGGGATAGAATCCACACACCTTCCTGTGGACAGTTCTCCAGTCTCGCTATACCGCCCAAATATAGGTTCCTGTTTTAAGACTTAGGGACACTTGAGTCATTGGATTGTGGACCCAGTAACCACACCATCCACCCTGCCTGCCCTGCCACCAAGCCTCTCCTCAACTGTGGTTTATATGGAGCCCAGTTCTATGTTGCATGGTGGATGCAGAGTCCCTTAGCCCATTTGCTTTGCAACCACCCACCCCCCAAGTGGTGGGACTGCGGCTGGTCCACTACACTGGGGAAATTCATCCTAAGTGAACTAAATTCAGGTCTTGTCACTTTCCCACACAGCAGGCATTAAACTACTGCAATCAGGATCCAAGCGGTACAGGTGAAGTTTCCCTCCCCCCTCACCACCGTATTTAACAAAGAGGGTACTTGGGAAAGAGTGTCCCTACCCTGTGGGATCACTGCCTGAGCCCCAAATGCAATCCACCCATCTGCACAGTATTAGAGATTGTATCTGTGAAAGCATAGCAGGACTCCTAGGGAAACGTGGGCATCCCTCATGCCTGGCATGGCTAATTCCCCATCTTAGTGTTGGTCATCAAGACGGAGATGGTTAATGGGTTTTCTTTTATCATTCCAGGGAGACCGAGGAGACAGAGGGCCTCAAGGGTTCAGAGGGCCCAAAGGGGATACTGTAAGTGCAATAAAACACTTGCCTACTAAATATTGAACATGAAGTCTAGTTTACAGTTGTATTAAGGCTTGCCTCTTTCATTCTATTTGTGTCGCTTTGCTGGCAGAAGGAAAAATTCTCAAGGTAGGTTAGAAACTGACAACCTTCATGCCTCTGGATGAGAGGCACTTCTGGGTGGGAGACACATAGATGGATTCAAGAAGAATTCTTGGATCTGTTTAACTCAACCCTGTGCTCCAAAGAGGTCTCCGAGCACTGCATTTATCTTCCAGTGTGAGATGTTATGACCTTGATCCAGGTCCCATGTCAATTTAATCTTGCAAGAAATCCTTCTGAAATGTCTTTATGTAGCAACTGCTACTGATCAGGAGATGGAAGATAGTTCTGTTCCCAGTTCTGCTCTCAATTCTCTGGGTGGCCTTGGGCAAGTTACTTAATCGCTCCATGCCTCAGTTTCCCAATTTGTAAAATGGGGATGATGATACCTATTAATCCTTATAAATCACTTCCGGGTCTGTGAATGAAAATCACTGGATAAATGCTAAGTAGTGGTAGTTATTATTTCTATGAATCAGGGTGTTAAAAATATTATTGCTGCTCTTAAAACAAATCTAGGAAAGATCTTTAGAAACAAACTTTTGCAAGTTTTCATCGTGGAAAATAGTGCACTTGTGTATTATATCTGGTCATAGGTCAGAGCTTTCGACAGGCTATTACCTTGTACACAGTTCAATCATTTGTTGTATCTTTTTGTCTGAAGTTCAGGTTGGAAGAAGAGTAGAGTTTAGCAAGATTTCTATACTCCTCCTAATCCTTCTACTTGCTCCATTAGTCAGACTAGTTATTTAATCCCTGATATTTCCCATCAAGCAGGGCTCAAGTGAGTGGGAGGAAAGCAGGGATATTTTCCCAGCCATTCTGAGAAAGCTGAGCTTTAAGGCTCAGATTTGTAATGGTGTCTTGGCGTTCTGTCGCTAAGTATTGCAAGGTCTAAATGACCTACTCAGCTACATCCCATTTTCAAAAGTGACTAAGAAACCTGTGTCTCACTGAAAATCAATTGGACTTAGACCGCTAAATGCCTAGCCATCTAAGTCACTTAGGCCTTAGAACACTAAGTGGAGCAACATATAAATACCTTTAAAAGTGTGAGCCTACGGGCTCAGGGCTTGATTCAACAGCCATTGGTGTCAATGGGAGTTTGCTCATTTGGGTCAGACTGCTAATGCTGAGACGTGATGAGCACACATCTTCCGCTGGGCTCATGCTCTAAATGAGCTAGTTATCCATCTGTGGATCGCTCAAGGTCAATCACAAACTGAATGAAATGAACCTATACTGTTAAAATATGAATGTTGAATTTATTTAATGCTTTTACCTAAAGGCTGTTTCTCTGGATATTTCCAGCACTGGATGATAAATGACTTGTGTGTTTCTAGGGTAGACCTGGACCAAAAGGATCGCCAGGGACCGGTGGACCCATAGGAGAACCTGTAAGTCAGATTTTAAAATTACAAGTCTCTGTGTTCATTGCTTCATGACTTTACAATACAGCAAATGTTAGAAGAGCTTACGTTGTTTCTGTTTGATGTAGTCTCCACATCAAGGGCTACATTTTCAAAGTTGTCTGAACCTGGACACTGAGAGTCAGTTTATGCAATCTATACTCATGTTCAAGCCCAGAGCTGGTTCTGTAGAAGTCAGTGGCAAATTTCCCTTTGACCTCAGTAAGTTTGGAATTTGGCCCATTTGTTAATTTGGCACATTGCAGTTGATGGGACTATTTGCTTGATGTATCCTAACAGGAGTGAAGGCTGCACAATCTGACCGTATAGTTACACCTACAATTTAATTCCCAAGCAGCATTTCTGCAGTTGGCTGTCTAAACGGAAAGGTCTGCAGACTTAAAACATCACAGGGCTAAATTTAGAGGATGCATTTGAAAGTGTAACCCTGAAATTTAATATAATCAAATCACTTACTGGTTCCGGCTTAAAATTTAAAATATATTGGACGATAATGATGACATTGGGTAACTGAAGTATATGTGTTAGTGGAATTTGTTCGTGCTGTGTTCTCTGAAATTAGAATCTGGGCTGTATTTTTATGCTCTAGAATTTATATTGTGGTTAAGAATAGATGATCTGCAATATCATATCCAGAGTTAGTGAAACCTATAACCAATGGTGGAGTCATAAGCATTATTGCTCATTAAGGCTATGTCTACACTTCCGTGGTAAGTCAACCTAAGTTACGCAGTCAATGTAGCTTAGGTCGACTTACTGCGGTGTCTACGCCGCGCTGTCTCCCGTTGACTTACCTTACTCTTCTCATTCCGGGTGGAGTACCGGGGTCAACTGGAGAGCGCTCTGCCATTGATTTAGCGGGTCTTCAATAGACCCGCTAAATCAACCCCTGGTGCATCGATTGCCAGTGTGTCGATCTGGTAGTAATGTAGACATAGCCTAATACTTTGGGGGGACTTTATAATTCAACACTAAAGGACTGATTGATCCTTATATGTTTCTGAATCTTTGCATGAGACTTGGCAATCAATGGTGTCTGTGTCACAATCTTATTCTGCATTGTGCGCTTATTCAGGGCATGCCGGGCAAAGATGGACGAGATGGAACACCTGGACTCGATGGTGAGAAGGTTTGTAAAATCCTATTTCAACACCACACAGAAAGATTTCAATTGCTGTCATCCACCGTACCCGGGTATAGGCTTTCCTGGAGAAAAAGCAATGCTTGAAAGACTTTGGCTCAAGAAAAAGATTTCCTGTAGTGTCACTCAGGCAGAAGAGGAAGATAGTTCACACTGATCACCCTGGGGAAATGCCAACAAGAAATTAAACCCAAAGATTATGTGACATAATGAACAGAATTAGCTGGTATTACCAGGGTTAAGTGACAGATCCTTATTACACAATGACTAATTCTAAAGCCACTTATTTGTGGTGAAACTTGCAGTATAAGGGTCTCTTTACAGTAAAAGGTTAATGTCCTTTCAGGGCTGTTGGTGGAGACATCCTTTTGTTCTCATCACTTACAAGGAAAGTGCTGTTAAGTGCCAGAGGGTTAGACATGTAACTGTGAGGTTCCGATTTCTGAAGGAGACCTTGGCAGGTGATCTCATGGAAATACACCTATTGGTCCTGGGGAAAAGCGACAGCCTTCACAAGTGAGAAATTAGAAGCTGTGGGTAGGGTTTTCAGAAACACCTAAAACAGTCAATGGGAGTTGGGTGCCTACTTCCTCTAGGTGCTTTTGGAATCTCATCCTTTGTGTGCACACAGGCATTGCAATTACCCATTTTGCACCTTCAAATGCCAATTTGTGCCTGCACGTGCTTTTTGCAGACACAACAGGTGAATTTTGACAGGTGCACTCCCCTTAGAATCTTTGTCCAGGAATGTACACAAAGGCCTGATTCTGCTCTCGCTTACACTCACTTTGCATCAATGTAACTTTATTGATTTCAGGGGAGTTTTTTTCTTTATTTATGCCAGTGTGACTTAGAACATTATTGGGCTCTATAAAAGTTTAAGGCCTGATTCTGATCTCGCGAACAGCCATGTAAATCAGGAGTAACTCACTGAAATCAGTGGAGATGCACTGGCTGGAAGCTGGCTTGTGAACGGAGAATCCGATCCAAAATGTCCTACTTTGAACATTGAACTTAAATGTTGGAATGTTTAGCGACTCACTGTGTGGTATAATAATAAAAATGAGCACAGATTTTCCAAGAGGGTATAAACGGGATTAATTCATCCAAAGGGGCTTTTCTAAAGTCACAAGATTATAAGTGATTCTGGATTCTACAAATATTGGGTGGATGGGAAATAAAGCCTGCCTGGAAAATGTCTGTTTGCGGAAGAGTCACCCCTGACTAATGTGAATAGCATCAGATCAGTCAATTGTCCATCTTAACCTATCACTGTTTACAGGGTGACGCTGCCCGCTTCGGTCCTCCTGGAGAGAAGGGGCCAAATGGACTTCCTGTGAGTATCACAGTATTGTTGCCATAAAGGGGTTGGAACATCTTGCCCAATGCAGGAGTGATACTTCTCTGTCATTTGACTGAGATGGAGGACACAAGAACAGCTATTTCTCACCTTGGGCCAGATTTTGGAAGGCACTGAGGCATCTAATTCACACTGGGAGGTGCCTAGATGTCTTTCAAAATCTAACCTCTTGTCTCACCGTGTCTCTCAAACCTTTAAGCCCATGAATAAGACTCTCTTCTCATGGTGCAATGTTTGAATGCCAGATGTCTGTGCACAGTATATTATACAGACTGGAAACAATCTGGGATATTCGCACAGTCAACCATGGCAATACAGATAGAAACATGGTTAAAGAGAAATGATCTGATCCAATCCAGTTGCAGCCAAAAGACTTTGTTGGGGCTTTAGGAGAAGATAAAGTGATTCTGTCCCCTGCAGTTGGCGATAATCAACTAGTAACACTCCAGATTCTCGTGTCAGTCACAGCTGTGTCAGTGTGAAGTGACTCAATTGAAAATGGCACACCTCCTGCCCCAGTGCCACCACAATGGAGCGGCTGAAACCCTAGGCAAGTCGCCATGGTGTTAGTGTGTCCCCTAATATTTCAGAAAGAAAACAAAGAGGAAAAATGTTAGCATCATAATGACATTTATCCCTTAGCCTAAGGGGCTAAGGCTTGGAAGTCAGGAGACCAGAGTCTACAGTATTCCTAAGGCTGACTTACTCTAAGACATTGTTGGCCAAATTATTTAACATCTCTGGTCTCCAATTTCTTCATCAGTAAAATGGGGATCAAAATACGTACCCCTCCCCTGCTTTGTAAAGCTTGTTGAGTATTGTTGAATGAAAGGTGCTATATAAGTACAAACTACTATTATTATTACATTATTTTTCATGTTCGCCTTTCTTTCCTATTTTCGTCAGTGGGAAGTGTATGGGTAGCACTCTGGATAATAAACTAGATGGTAATTTCTCCCATTATTTTCACATGGAAAAATGTCTCTAATAGAAACATATGTCCTGTGATTCTAAATGCCCATATATGTTTAATCAGACAGTAAATGTTACTTTCTACAAACTGCACAATTTCTGTTGTTGTGATTTTTTTTTTCAGGGGCTACCAGGAAGACCAGGTCACAAGGGTCCAAAGGGTGAACTAGTAAGTGAAGGATGAGTTTTCACTGGGAAACTGTTGTGTGTGTCATCTTAGTGCACTGCAGTTTTAGGCCCAATCTGGCAACACTTACACACGTGCTTAATTTTGAGCCCCAGAATGGTCTCAGTGAACTTAAAGGACTGAACATGTGCATAAATATTTACAGGATTGCGTCCTTGGGGATCAGGGCCTGCATTTCTTTTTAAAACTGACCTGCTTGAGTCACCTGTTGAGGTGACACAATGTGGATATTCTGCTCACTGTGCACATTGTACCTTCTCAGGTGTTTCTCAAAAGGCTTTTTGAAGATCTCCCTTTGATGGGTATTTCGGGAAATTGAAATGCAAAAGTATAAAATGCGCAGTCCAGTCTCCAATGAGTAAATATCCAGTGCAGGGGGTTTAGTCGTGGGAAGATCCCTCAAGTTTCTTTAGACAGTCTGCTTCAATTCCAAAGACCGCCAACGGACCTCTGATAACCCTCCCAGTGGCAGAATTTTGGAATTTGCCTCTCTGCTGCCAAACTTTCGCCCTGAAGTCACGAGACTTGACATGGCTGCCACACAATATGTGTAAAATGGCGCACTCAGTAAATCTGCATCAACAGTCCCCTTCAAGATAAGCTACAAGGAATCTTTACAACAATGCATTTCATTCCTACACTTTGAGACACCAGGCTGGCTCTCAGCAATGTTTGATGAAAGAAAATCTGAAACAGATTGAGGCAACTCATAAAATTACTCATTAAAGTGTATTTGTTCCGACTTTCCCTCCCTTTCAATCTTCTATCTAGCATCAGCCTCATTATTATGTACTGTATACAAAGGCTACTAATCCTCATGCTTCAGGGTGTACACTGATCACTGGCTGAGGTCAGGAGGAAATTCCTCCCACTTATGGTGTTCCATAATATTTTGGAAGTCCCAGCATGTACACTGTAGCATAACTATCCTATAGTTTTATATATTATAAGAATTCTTCTCTTCTTGGAGTTTTATTGCTGTCTTTTAGCACGTTTTGTTATCTCATTTCCCCAGCAAGACTTTAATTTCATCCTTTTCCTTCCAGCTGGTTGGTAGAGAAGTTACAGAAGTGACTATGAAGTTCCGTCCAATTGACTGTTTGTTTTCCCCACTACAGGGTAGTCCTGGAGAGATGGGAGAGGCAGGTCCATCGGGAGAGCCCGGTATCCCTGTAGGTATCTCCACATCTTACATATATCACGAACTCTGTTCAGTGCCTCTTAAATTCCATCACTAAGCTTGAGCTCATGTGCTGCTTCTCTGGCACAATTGAACTTGGCATATCCGTAATAAGTGATATGAACTTCTCTCTCTCACACGTGCATATATATGTATATATGGTTTTTATACAAAGATATATAAAAAGTATAGGTACACAGTGTGGTAATGCGGGCTGACAAAACAGTCCTTCACTTGTGGATGTAGAAACATTATGTGTGATCTTATCTGGGGAGTGGAATGTGGGACGTAAGTCACATGTCAGTTCATTAGAAACTCAAATACCACTTACCCTGCTGCAGTGGGGTCAACCAAGCAGTTTAGGGAGGCGGTGTGCCCTAGAGGATAATACACTGGACTGGGACTCAGGAAACCCGGGTTCTATTCTTGGCTCTGCCATTGGCCTGCTGGGTGACCTGGAGCAAGTCACTTCACTGCTCTCTGCCTCAGTTTCCCATTCTGTAAAATGGGGCTAATGATACTGACTTCCTCTGTAAAGCAGTTTGAGATCTATGAATGACAAGTGCTATATAAGAGCTAGGTATTGTTGTTATAATTTATTAACTAGCTGATACCCATGAACTGACAGTGATGTGAGACATGAATGATATATTTGTGTAATGGTTTTACAGTGGGTTGGGAAGGGTGGAGATCCCGCTTGAAGAACAGCACCGATGACGTTTTGATATTGTTGATAGGGTGATGCCGGTATCCCTGGTGAGAGAGGTGAGCCCGGACCTAGAGGATCATCTGTAAGTAGAACATTGCTTCTTCAAGTATAACCTTTCTGCAGTTAAAACACAGCTCTGTTATCAATCTTCAGAGCCACCATCAAGCTAAAATAAAAGGTTCCATCCTCTACTGGCGTAACGTCTGTGGATTTACACCAGCAGAGACTTTAGCCCAAAGTAAATGGGCCAAGGTCTCCTCTCTTTTACCCCAGTGTAAATGTGGAGTAACCAAACTGAAGTCACCGTGCTTATTCCACATTTACATTGAGGTGGCGGAGAGGAGAATTTGTCCCATGTGATTCATGTGGCTGGTGCTCTTACATGATGGCAGCTTGGACAATCAGCACCTCCTTGATTTGGTATAATAAGGGTTATTCTGGAATGCCCGGCCTCCAGCACTCTAAACGTGAAAGCCGTCCCTTTTAGGTGTCATTCAGAGATACTAAGGCCAGAAGGGACCACAGGGATCATCTAGTCTGACCTCCTGCGTAACGCAGGCCAGAGAACGGCCCCAAAATAATTCCCATTTGAACTAGAGCAGATCTGTTAGAAAAACATCCAATCTTTATTTTAAAATTGCCAGTGATGGAGAATCCACCACAGACCTTGGTAAATTTTCCCCACAGTTAATGACCCTCACTGTTAAAAATGTATGCTGTGTTCCTATTCTGAACTTGTCTACCTTCAACTTCCAGCCATTGGGCCGTTGTCTGCTAGATTTAAAGAGCCCATTATCATATCTCATAGCTGTAGAAAATGTTTACAACAAAATTTGAAATCATACAACTCACCTAGGTTAATTACAGTCTTGAAACTTGGAAGAGGTGTGTTGAAAGGTTTGCAAACCTGCAGGGAGCCCATTGCACTGTTTTGTGCAAAGTTGTGCCCGTTTATGGTTTGCATTAAAATCACACAAAACTCATGACCGCACAATTTGATGCAAAAGAAGGTCACGTTTGAGGCTTTCGAGGATATTTCATTTTGGGACACTGAGACAGCACAAACCTGTGGGGATTTTGAAAAGGAAGCGTTTGTGTGAAATGAAACAGTGGGTTTTGCCCAGCTCTAATCGCTTGGGTTTTTCCCCTCACCTGTAAATTGTAAAGAATTTCTGGTTTGAAGCATCTCATCCAGTCTTGGGTCCAAAACAGGATGCTTCATACCCGTTCTCAGCATTGTCACAGAGCACAGAGAATAAAGAGCTATGAGCGCTGTAATGAAGGAAGAGTCTACAAATAATTGCATTTCTGCCCATTGGGTTCCTGCAGAATGGTGTAAGATAAAGAACTGGCTTCGTTCACAATATTAAAAATTCCAGGACACCATTTATTTTCCTATTATACCAACAAGTGCTACTGTTGTGGCTGGGCCTGAACTTACAGGGGGGGTTTGATCTTGTTTAAGTATTTTTGAAATCAGGAAGCCTACAGGAAATCTAAGATGATTTTTTGTATGTGCCACTTGGGCAGAAATTGAGCAGTTTAATAAGTTATTGTTCTGAACAGCTCGCTCTTTAAACTTCCAAGAAAAGGGAAATTAAACCTTAGAGATGCAAAAATTATTTATGTCCTCAAATTTCAAAGTAAAATTGGGCGGGGGGGGGGGAAAAGATATTTGGTTGGAAAAGAAAAAAAAAACGGGAATGTACTGGGAAAGGAAAAGGGCCAGATTCTCATCTCAGGCCTCATCTATACAAGAAAAGTCCCCTGGTTTAACTACATCAAGTTAGACTGGTACAAACCGCTAAGTCAGGTACACTAACATCAGCTTAACCCATGCTTATTTCTACTAACTTGTGTCAGTAAGTGACTTGTGCAAAATTTATATGAGAAAGGGTTAAACTGGTGTAAGTGAGTCTACATTAGGGGTTTGTACCAGTTTAACTACATTGGTTTGGTTAAACCTGTTCATTTTTCAAATATAGACAAGGCTTTACTTATACCTGTGTGACTCCAGTGTAACTCCACTGACTTCAGTGGAGATTAGGATCTGGCTTAGACTATTTAAAAGAATTGCCACTTAACAGTCATTTTCAATACCATGCAGCTTTATTTGGTAAAGCATCTTGCAGAAAACTCTAGTAGAGGTGTCAGTAAGACAGTTCCAAAGTAAAATGAGAAAATGAAAGCAGAAAGAAAAAATGAGCCATGAAAGTGTCATTATAGTCAGTGGAGTGGCTGTATAAAAATGGCACTATTTTACTTAATTAGATCTGCTGAATGGGTTTATTCTAGATCAGTGTTTCTCAAACTGGGGTCACCACTTGTGTAGGGAAAGCCTCTGGCGGGCCGGGCCAGTTTGTTTACCTGCCCCGTTTGCAGGTCCGGCTGATCGCAGCTCCCACTGGCTGCGGTTCGCTGCTCCGGTCCAATGGGAGCTGCTGGAAGCGGCACAGGCGGAGGGACTTACTGGCCACCGCTTCCCGCAGCCCCCATTGGCCCGGAGTGGCGAACCGCAGCCAGTGGGAGCCGCGATCGGCCAGACCTGCGGATGGGGCAGGTAAACAAACCGGCCCGGCCCGCCAGGGGCTTTCCCTGCACAAGTGGCGACCCCAGTTTGAGAAACACTGATCTAGATCATGTCTTCTTCCTCTAAAAAATTAAGGCCGGGGAGCCATGCAGAGTGAGCACAGGTGTGGGAGACTGATCTAGATTTTAATCTGACTCTCAGAAATGGAGATTCTGCTAATGAGGCACAAACCAGAAAGACCCCAACTGGACATTTAGATTCCAGAGTGAGTTTATAGGCCTGGCAACTAGAAAAACAGGCTTTTTCTTTTTTAACTTGTAAACGGAGTGAATCTTATATAGCGTCACTGAGAGATAATGTGTGTGGAACCTCACAATGCCATTTTCAAACAGTCACTTTCGTGGCAGAATTTCACCTACGACATAAACTTTCCTCTCTTTGCTTCAATTGCATAATGGCAAGAGAGGTTTAACGGTGAATCAAATGCTTCTTTTCGTAGCAGTTTATCTTGCTATTTGTATTCTTCTGATAAATACACTGCACCTACATTGGGAAATCATTACTCAAAAAGAAAAGTTAGACTGTTTAAATGAGAGAGAATTAATAGCCAATGTGAAATTCTATTCTTCGGGGCCCTGATGCTGGAAGGTACTTAAGCATGTGCCCAGCTTTAGGCATGTGTAGGGTGACCATATTTCCCAAAGAGAAAACAGGACACCCCCAGACACTTGCCCAAGGACCGCCCGCACCCCTGCCCCCACCCTTGCCCCCTCCCCCCGCATGCTGTTGCCAGTTGCTGGAACCCAGGAGGCTGTTGCCTGGTCTCTGGAAGCCTGATCGCTGGAAACCTGGGTGGGAGGAGCAGGCTGGAATGCTGCTTTCCCCCCCACATCCAACCCTACCCCCCCCACATGGGGGACTGGCATCTCCAATCGCCCCCTCTGTACCGCACCCCACTTTTTTGACAACAGTGGGCATTTGTCCTATTTGCTCTTGCCAATTGATCAAGTCAGCAAGAGCAAACGGAACAAATGTCTCCTTTTGGGGAAAAAAGTGGGGACGGCTGGGACAGGGCTTAAAAAAGGGACTGTCCCGGCCAAAACAGGACATATGGTCACCCTAAGCACGTGAGTCCCATTGACTTCGGATCTTACTGAATAAAATGGTGCCGTTTTTACATAGCGTACTGACATGGAACTGCTCATACGCTTAAAGGGACTTCACTGAACTAAGGTCTGACTTTGATCTCCCTGACAGTGGCTTTACTCCAGAGTGCCTGTGACGTCAATTAAGTTTGTATTGATTTAACACTAGTGTGCAATCGTGACTTGTATAATATCATATGTGCCTGGGGCAAAAAAACATGCTGGGTTCTGACCACGAATATAACTAGTTCTCTGTATCTTTCCAAAGCTGCAAACAAGGGGTAAAATCTTCAGAAGCACATAAGTCCCCTTAATTTTACAATGGGATTTTGGCTCCTAAGTGACTTAGGTCTTGAGAAAGTTGTACCCAGTGACCTTGGTGCCTGAATCCCATTTTCAAAAGTGACATTGTTTAGTCTTTAGGCTCCTAAGTCATTGAGTCACTTTCGAAATTTGACCCAACATCATTTGTGTGTTTTATTTTCTCAGTAGAATACAGCGTAGCCTCTTGTACGCAGCTGTCAATTTTCTATCAGAAATGTTTTTAGCTGGAATAACAGAAAACACAAAAGGCTGCATTTTCAGAACGCCTGACCTAAGTTGCTGGTGCAAAATGCGCCTGCACAAACTGCAATGGATGTGATTGCCAGTTTTGACTGTCCCAAGGCATGCACGGTATCATGCTTTTGTATTTGCATATGTGTATTTCAAGGGGGCAGGCTGGACACCCAAGTTCCTGACTTCCAGAGGGGCTGCATGCTTGCAGCTCCTATTTGCTTCATTTGTAGTGGTGGACGCTCAACTCCTCTGGAAATCAGGCCCCAGGTTTTCAATTTGCCAGCCCCCACAGTCTGTTCCTTTAATTACCAGTTTTCTTCCTAACTTCATCTGACAGTTCAGTAAGAGTTGGAAAACGGTTCAGTGAATTAATTAGCTTAACCTGTATGCAATTAAATATGTGATATATAGTTAGTACTAGAGTTGCTTGGCACTCCATCTACCGTTCCTCCCCCTCCCCCCAAAAACCTCTTTCCCAGCAGGCATATGTGTCAACCTACTAAGAACAAAATGATCTGTGAATTGGAAAAGGTGCAAAGGGATTGTCTTGTGTTTTCAGTTCCTGCAACTTAGAATGATATCTCAGAAAGATCCTGTTAGGATGTAAAAAGCCTTGGCCACTTATTTGACAGTCTGCCCCATATTAACCCGGAAATCTCAAGAGGATGATCAGGTGTATCCGTCACAAAAGCACCATTTAGCGGGTCACGGTCAGGAAGCACCCATTGACTTCAGTGGGATTAGTCATGTGCTTAAAATTAGACACCTGCTTCTCTCCCTTGCTGAATCGGGCCAATTAACTGTATCCATTCAGAACTGGAGTGGCAGGTCTGACCTGACATATTCTCAGGGCTGTGTGTCTAGGAGAAGTTTACACAGCATGTGTCCCACTGTGCCTGTCTCTAGCCAGGGTCACTTAGGCCCTTGCAGTCATAAGAACCAAATGAATCGAAGCATTGAGTAAAACAGAAATAATCGTTATTGTTAATGGTAATCATAAGAATAAAGTTCAGTAAACAGCGAGTTGCCTTATAATGGCCATCCATCAGCATGGCAATTAGGAAAACTTCTATACCGCAGGACTGCCTGCTTTTTGTTGTTACAATGAAGGCAATTCAATTGTGTTCATGACTCAATTGGTTGTGAATGATCTTTCTTAATGATGCTTATTCTTCTCTTTCTCAGGGCGCACTTGGTCTTCAAGGCCCCTTGGGAGCCCCAGGCGTAAGAGGCTTTCAGGTCAGTAAGCTAGAAATTTGGGTCATTTAGTAGCCACCAGGTTATAATCGTTTGGTGTCCATGCAAACTTCTGGCAAAGAAGCTTGGGTGATAGTGACAAATTATTGGAGGGCCTGGATTTCAATTAATCAGAACATACTTAATGCTTTCTTTAATATAACACAGTGAAAGGGGGAGCAAGGGAAGAGTAGTAGCCAAAATACTACTATATCCACTGCAAGAACAAACACTGTCTTTGTTTCACAAAAGCAGAGGAAGTCTTTTAGATCTGATCGTTTTATATCCTTCTTCACCGGGATATTCCCAACCCACTTGTCTTGAGTGTCCCCTGTGCTAGTCCTGGGGACCCCTCCTTTAATCCCGTCACCCGCACTCCCAAGATTGCAGCTACTTTCCCCTCTCCAGGCAAAAAGTGGCTAGGGCCAGGTCCACACTACAAACTTGTCCCAGCAGAGTAACGTTGGTGATGAGCTGGGGTCCCAGATCAACAGAGCTGTGCCAGCAAAAGCCCCAAGTGGAGACGCAGTTATACCGGCAGAACCGTGCTTTTGCCAGTATAACTTACTTCACTCTGGGTGGGGCTGGATAGCTATGCTGGCCAAAGTGCAGTTTTGCCACTGTAAGCTGCATTCCCCAGTCGGAGTGCTTTGCTGCTATATGTGTCGGCAAAGCCTTCCAAGCGTAGACCCGACCTAGGATTCCGCACGGAGCCTGAGCAGCAAAACACCTGAATTGTCCAGACACCCCACTCTGGAGCATCATCAAGCGCTCCCTTATCTGCAGCCTCGGTTGTCAGGGAGAGCTCAGACTCAAACCTTTCACACAGCTCTGCAAATGTCATCAAGAAGCCATCAGGCCAGCCTTACATGGGTGTTTTTATGAAGCTGCTTTGAATGAAAAGATCGGCAGGTTTTCATACAGTTCTCAGTGTACTGACCACACACAGCAGTAAGGGCTCTATCATCCGGGGCCCATGGCGACTCGTCGTACTGAAGCTCCATTGCTTCCTGACTCCCAAATTTGGTTCTCTTGGTGCACCCAGATGCCCTTATTGTGGCCGCTAAGCAACCTATGCTAATGCCATTGATGATCTGCAAGAGATTGGGCTGGAGTACCTCAAAGGAGGGAGGGATAGCTCAGTGGTTTGAGCATTGACCTGCTAAACCCAGGGTTGTGAGTTCAGTCCTTGAGGGGGCCACTTAGGGATCTGAGGCAAAATCAATACTTGGTCCCTGCAAGTGAAGGCAGGGGACTGGACTCGATGACCTTTCAGGGTCCCTTCCAGTTCTATGAGATAGGTATATCTCCATATATTTTAAAATGCCTTCCTTCAGTCAATGGCGTCAGAGGGGAAGGGGCCAGCAAGCAAGGACACGAGGAAGGAGAAGAGCGTACTGGGGTCTGGAAGGAGAGGAAGGACAGGGATAGCGGTTGGGACTTGGGAGAGTAAAGAAGGAAAAAGGGAATCTGGAATGAATGACTTTGTTCAGGAAATCGATATTGAGACTGGTGAACTCTTGGGACGTTAACAGGTGCAAGGACTCTCATCTTTCCTTTGTTTTCCCTATAGGGCCGCAAAGGTGCCAGTGGGGAACCTGGACTCCCCGGTCCTACGGGGATTCGTGGTGAATTTGGTGACAGGGTAAGTAGAGCTGGGCAGAAAAGGTTTTTGCCGTCCTGCAAAAAACTTCTGGGGTCTCACACCATGTCCCCATTCCAAATCATGGTGAAAAGTCAAAATCTTGAAAATGTTCATGAACCGAAAATCTGGAAACCATTTTGGTTCAAGTCATTTGAAAAGTTTTGTTCCGATTTTGATTTTTCTTGTTTGCTCCTGAGAGGATGGCCTGAATGAGAGCAGCCCTCACTTTACCCCCCCTCACCCCCTCCCCGGCCCGTTCCCTCCACTTAGAGCGATGGCCTGGCCCTTTAAAGGGACCCTCTGACCGTGAGGAGAACTTTCCTATATGACAGATTTCCCACCATTGGGGTCTCTGTCAGCAGTGTCTGCCTGTCCCTGCTCGGTTTAATGTACTAGCACTTACTACCTTTTCCCCTAATTGTCGATTATGCAACAAAGCAATCTGTTTGCTCATCAGGCTTTTCCCCAGATCTTTCAAAGGTACAACTATTGCCCATAAATCGGATGATGGTAGTGACAATAAAGTAAACCCAGCAGAACTGCACTAGCTTGTGCTCCCTGCCAGACCGATGATGGAACACAGCCCCTTCCAATTTTCAGAGCCTCATTTTGAACCTTACCTCTAATTTTGAACATTCAGTTTTAGACGGATAAATAACTGGGCCTGCAACAAATCGCAAGTGCAAGCAGTAGCGGTTAGATACCTAACTTGCTGGCTTGCAAGGGTAAAATGTCATTGGATGGCTACATTTTACCATTTGCAATTGCAGTTCATTGCAAGTGCAAAACTTCTACTGCGAAGTTAGGGGCTTTGTAGCTGAAAATCAAACACACGATACCATTCAGCTCATATAAATAAGAGAATAAGAAGGTCTAACGCTTCAGAACCTGGATTCAATTCCCTGCTCCACCGCAGACTGTGTGTGACCTTGGGCAAGTCCCTTACCCTCTCTGTGCCTCCATTCCCCTTCTGTAAAATGGGGATAATAGCACTGTCCTGCCTCATAAGGATAAATTAAAAATTGTGTGGCACATGTACTATGGGATGGGGGGCCATATAAGTATCTTGGGGCTTGTCTACATTACCCGCTGGATCGACGGGCAGAGATCGATCCAGCAGGAGTCGATTTATCGCGTCTACGCAATAAATCGACTGCCGAGCGCTCTCCCGTCGACTCCGGTACTCCTCCAGACACAGGCGGAGTCGACGGGGGAGCATCAGCAGTTGACTCACCGCAGTGAAGACACCGCGGTCAGTAGATCTAAGTATGTCGACTTCAGCTACGTTATTCACGTAACTGAAGTTGCGTAGCTTAGATCGATTTCCCCTCCTCCCCACTGTAGATCAGACCTAAGATAAAAGAGCCACCTGGATAGGCCAAGTTCTTATGTCTCAATATATAGGTTCAACTGATTAATAAACTGAATCATTCCTTTATGCTTCCTGATGTCTGCCTTAGCAGGATGATCGTGACAAATCAGGCTTTTACGGATCTACTGTTAAAAAACAACCAACCAACCCTGAATCATAGGCGTTAGAGCTGGAAAGGGGAGGGGACTCATGAGCTAATCAGCATTTCCAGTGCTGCATCTCCATTCCTAGAAGCCCCATTATGTCTAGACTGAATAGTTTATTTCAACAAGATTTTCCAGATCCTATCCCAGCCAGATTGGACTATTTGTTGCAATGGACACAGGGTTTACTATACCTGCTCTATATGCAGATTTCATCCAAGAGCAAGATCTCCATGCTCACAGGAGAGCTGCATTTTAGTTATTTAGAATATTTAATTAGGACTTTTTAAAAAAAAATCTTTTCTTTTTTCTTTACAAACGGGAACATACCTGGGCCCCGCAAGGCCAGAACTTCAAAATAAATTCAGCGGTTGGCTTTAAATAGAATTATTCTTGTTGAAAAGAAGCCAGCAGATCAAAAATGAATGTCAGTTATCCACGGCCTGCGGGAGAACAGTAGCCGTGTGTTCCATGGCTTCCTTCACTTTAGCTTGTAGGTAAAGTCTCTGTGTAAGTAATCACCCCTGGGCACCAGGCATTTCACAATGGGCCTCTGTGTTAGACCTGGATGAATCTTGTGTTGAGATTTATGCTTCTCAGTCACACGGGGCTCTGCGTCTGGACGCTACAACAGCAGGGGTACTGTAGAAACAAGAATCGCCACAATGAAAAATGTATTTTTGGAGATGACACATCCCTTTAAAACTATGGCCCTGTTAAAAATGAGTGAACAGAGAACAAGTAACTGTTAAAAAAATAGCAGCCCGGTCACAGGGTTTGGGGAATAATATTGCATTTGCCACTGATTCATTTAAAAAAAAAAAAGTTATAAATACCCAGATTCATTTCTACCTTCTGGCTTGTTACCTCTGAATTATTTTAATAGGGAAACTTTTTAATAGAACGTTCGGTTTTTTAATTGATCTTCAGGGCTTGACTTTAATGAAATGACACCCGCTAATTCTATGTGTTTGTTCTATCACGTTGTTCTGCTGGAAGTTTCTAGAACCAGCTATGAAAAAAATCACATATTTCCCAATTGCCAAATTGATGAATGTGCCATAAAACTGCTGTTCTAAGACTACAATAATTGAACCCATCCGACAGTGCATTGCAGAAAAGACCAAGGTCCTCAGAACTTGAATTAGCTCGCGGCTGTGTTAGATGGATCCAAAGTCACAGGCCAGGGCTCCAAATGTATTGCTTCATTCTCCTTTTGAATGCTAAAGAGGCATGGTTGTTCTTGGAATGTTTCTTCAGACTAGCTAAATTACCCCTAGGTTTATAAATTACAGCTGCTTGGTTCACCTTTTACTCCTATGGACATCTGACCCTGCCACTTAAAATACCAGACAAGGTGGATACCAGACAAGGTGGGTCCCTTACCGGCAAGTTCCCAAGTTATGCTTCTCTGTGGATGCCGAAGTCATGAACAGCTAACCCTAAACCCTTGTGAAAATTGACGTAGTAATAGAGACCTTGCAAAACTGTTAAGAACCTTCATTAGTCCTGGCACAAAAATCCATTCTCCTGCTCTATACCATGATGATGATAAATCTGAGAATATTTTACATGCCTGGGGGAAGGGAGGGAAAGGAACCTTACCCAGGGGTGAGCGAGGAAGGTGAGTCTGATGTAAATGGACAGAATTAAATGCACATGGCATTTTAGTTTTGTTCAGTGAATTAACAAGGACAGTATGAACAGAGCAACAAAGAGTCCTGTGGCACCTTATAGACTAACAGACGTATTGGAGCATGAGCTTTCGTGGGTGAATACCCACTTCGTCGGATGCATGTTCACCCACGTCTGTTAGTCTATAAGGTGCCACAGGACTCTTTGTTGCTTTTTACAGATCCAGACTAACACGGCTACCCCTCTGATACTTGACAGTATGAACAGAGTATCCCATAAGCAAAACCCTTACAATGACCACAATTTACTGTTAGCGGCCACAGAGAATGAACGGAAGGCAGGTGGGGAGGGGCCCTCAAACACTGAGTTATTTTTAATGGCTGGCAGGTTGCATGGGTTATGGGGGAGATGAGGTGGGAGAGCCACTTCAGAGAAGGAAATTGTGACCTGTCATCTTGTGGCTTATGTATACTGTAACTGTCAAGAAAGAAATGTGAACCACAGTGACCGCAGAATATTGCTGCAAAACAAACTGAACGCTAAAACCTCTTGTTGATTCTAAGAAATACAAATGAGATCTGATCCCTGTCTAGCCTCTTTGTCTTAGCTGGCAATTACAGGATTAGTTTTCCCACCCCTCACTGTGCCAGTGAGCGTCTGACTGTGCTAGGAATGCATGGGAAAAGAACAGTTCCCTGCTCATTCCCCCTTTTTCTTGTTACAGGGTTCTGGTGGAGTTTCTGGTCCCAAAGGTAACCAGGTGAGCCAAGGGTTGGTCTTTCCTTTTCTGGTTATTTCCCCATTTTATTCAACTAATATGATTTAACTGTAGCTTGATCACAGCTATTCAACAGCGTTACCAACTTTCCTCCCAATTAAAATGAACAGGTTATGCAGCAGACACAGCCAACACATTTTTCTTCTGATTCATTTTTGTGTGTGCTCAATGTATTTTATTTTAATAAAGGTATCTTTAATAAAGACGCTCAGTCTTCCAGTCACAGTACGTGGCAAGTAAACTGCTTGGGGCCAAATCTTGCTCACCTAACTCACAAAAGTCAGCCTATAATCTTCAGGGGGGTTACCCACGTGAGTGGTCAAGCAGGGTTTGCTTGACCACTCACGTGGGTAGCCCCCCTGAAGCCTCCAATGATTAATTATGTAGGGACAAGGAACATTTAGCCCTTAATAAACTTTTGCTTCTAAACTTTCATGTTTGGATTGCTTCAATTGATGACCTTCCTTGAAATATATAACTTAGATCAGTGGAGGAATGTGGTTTATCTCTGCAGAAAATGGAATGCACTCCCAACAACAGTTTATCAATTGCAAATATGCCTCCTAGCCTCCTTTTGTTGCTTTCTAAGGGCAGGATCAATGTAAGTTCAATAGGGTCTGTGAAGCCTAAATCTGAAAAAGACATCTAGTCCCAATCTGTATCATCAGCACAATGATGTTTATTATCGGCTGTAACTGTGTGCAATACCCTAGCCAGAGTGGCATCTGAAATGTGTAAACCCTGCACATACCAACGGTAGCTCTGTATATATTGTTTCTATTCCTACCTGAATAACAAGCGCCATCTGTTGGTTTAAAGGAAAAGGGATTATATATTGTAGCTTAACATGGCCATACAGGGCTATTCACCGAATGGCTCTTGGGAGACTTTTGTCCTCGTATGAGTCCAACTCTGAAATAAAGCTGCAACTTAATAATTAGCCACCTGGTTTCAAACATCACTGGAAACACCCTGGCCTGATTTTGGGTAGACCCCAAGTTTGTGACTGTTGAAGTTTAGATTTTATTTTAAGTAAGGGCTTATGAATAGTTCTCTTGCATGCACTTTATTTCAGAGGCTTGCTGTGATAATTGGACCTACAAATTTACCCAAATTGTGAGCTTAACTGAAAAGTGGGTGTAAGTTCATAAGGTGTTACAATAACCTAATAACAGATGTTGATGGGAAAAGGTACAAAAGCACAGAGGGACTGAATTAGTCCAAACAAAAAGGCCTCAAGGATTGTGTTGAAATCATGCTTGGAAAATTGGACAGTGTGAGACCAAAAATCAATGAACAACAATTGGTGTGTCAGAAATTAGGCCTAATTAGTGGACAAAATAATGAGGGAATGGACTATTCCACCCATCACTCCCTTTTGGGGTCTTTCAAGAAAGAGAATTTGGGGAGAAAAATTGGCTACTAGAGTGAGCTTCACCATCCTGACTGCCACCCCCACCATCTCCTGGAACCCTGGACCTTCTTCATCCCTATCCTAAAAGTTGTCTTGACCAAACTAGGCCAAAAACCGGAACCCAAACAACACTGCCACTTCCACCAGCTCCAGCTAAATCCCAAATACCACATGGGATTTGAGACTTTGTTTTTCTCTCTTTCCTCCCCACCCATGTGTCCTTTTCCTTCTCTGCCTTTTTCTCCTCTTTCCTATCCCTCTCCTTTTTCCTTTTGTCTAACGAAAGTCTGGCGTCGCTGGCCAACACTGCATAATTTGCAACACTCCTGTAAGCCTGTGATCAGAAAGGGGCAACTAAAATCAATGCCCTAAACAGCTCAATGCTGGTATAAGTTTGCCAGATCTCAAAGTGACTAATAAAACAGTGTGCTGGGCCTTTGTTTTTCCAGCAGCGAGGTTGCAAGTGAAAGTCAAACACCAGAGATGGAAGCTGTATTTTCTATCTTTGCTGTTCTTTTCTCTTTTTGTGTGTGTCTGTCTGTCTGTCTGGTTTAGTTTTCTTAGGAAACGGGATCAGACTTTAACAACAGCAGCAATGAAAGCTCCAGCCCATTTCAGCAAACATCTCTTTCCCCCCAAAAGGCCAGTTAATACCATCTTTCATAGCATCTCAAAAACCCGTCAAACAAGGGGGGTTTTCCCATCTAAAAACGCTCTCCAGCTAAAATGAATAAATTAATATCTATTGTTAAAATGAAAGCCGTACTTAATACTTTACATTTCAAATGCTTTAATTGTTTTTCCTTCTTTTCTGTGTCTTTAATAAAAGGTTAAAATAATGTTTAATGGTTTGCTGTGCTATTAACCATGCCAAGTCTCTGTATACCAAACCCCAAACCTTTACCGTTAAACCGTAACAGGGTCTTGTTAATACCTTAACTCTTTAGGCCCATGTATTCCAGCTGAATTAATACAACCAGCTGCTTTGGGGTCACATCCTGGTTTAAACAAGGAATGAACAGACTTAACACGGAACTATCTTCCTGGAGTGAAGAGTGTTAAGTGTGGACACCTGTTCTGGCTGCACTGGTGCTTATCAGCACTTGCCAGGCCTTGCTCAAGTCACTCTAGAATTAAATTTTGCCACAGCGAGTTGGACGCAAAGGGCTCCCAGCTCTTGCAGAAGGCTGCCCGTTATCAGGGTTGCCATTCAGAGCAACGGAACAGCTATTGTGGAGTGTACCTTAATTTTGCCATATCCATTTTCCAAAGTCAGAAAACTTTCCCACTGCAACAGCAACAAGGCCCTGGAGCCTCTTTGCTCCCAGTAGGAGTTGAGGGCACTCGGGGCTCAAAGGACTGGGCCCTGACAGAGTAAATCCCACTTGGAAAGTGTAGCCCATGTTTGTGAATAACCATTGCAAACCCACTGGTGAAGTTCTCATGTGTTAACTGTTGTGCCTCGTTATCAGGGCACTGCTGGAGCAGATGGCCTGCCAGGTGACAAAGGAGAACTGGTAGGTATCATTTAAACCAAACAAAATTAACATATCAAACAATGGGAGCGCAGAGATTAATGAACCAATGACTATTAAAACCTGCCAGCGTTGAATACACGAGGGCTCCAAAGGCTAGTTACACTATTGATTGTGAAAAGAGAACGGCGCCCTGTGAAACCAAACCAAGTATCCCGTTCACCATCAGCACTGTGCCCGTTTTAGTTTGACTAGTCAAACTAGAGGAGGATTTCTCACGTGTACAGCCAGGGATTCATCATTCGTTATTTCTACTCCTCAGGGAGATCAGGTGCATAGAAGCCGACAGTCCCTTCTGTTCTTGGGTATTTAGGCTTTTTTCACACCTTGGTTCAATGGAGGCTGTCACTATCAGGGAGCTGTGTTCAGCCCTGACATATGTGGGTCTAATGATGAATCCCTGTCTATAGAAGTGATGAATCCTCTAGTTTTACTAGTCAAACTAAACCGATCAGTTATTCCTTACAAGTGCAGTCCACGCCGGAACCTCTTTTATCCCTTACCTTGAGCCCCTCCACCGTACCCTCCAGCAGTCAGAGGATTGCACTGCTGAGCAGACGAACCCAGCACTGCTCTGCAGAGCTGCAGGGGTCGCAGTGGTTCTCAACCTTTTTGGGCTCGGGGTCCATAAATGTTTATGGCTTGTCGTGACCTGGGGGTGGAGGCGCTGGGGTGGTTTCAGTCGGATCCTGCCCCCTAGTGTCCTGCCTGGCACTCACCCCACAGTGGCGGCTCCTGCTGTGGGACTGGCTGCATTTGGCTCTCGGCATTGCAGTTGTGTGAGTGGAGTTGTGACCTGGTTCATGGGGTTCCAGTGCCACTCACTCAAATTTGGCCTACTCAGACTCCCATCGTCATGACGGCTGGGCCAAATCTGAGTGGCACTGGGACCCGGGAGGGGAGCCCAGCCAGCCCCGTGGGACAGGAGCTGCCCCGTGACCCTTTGAAACATTCTGGTGACCCAATTTCCGGTCCCAACCCCCGAGTTGAAAGATACCAATGGGGTTATCCTCCCTCCTGTCAGTGCCCTTTGGCTGTGCCCCTGTTTGCAGTATTGTTCTTTGCATTGATGTAGAACCCACAGACCCTGCTCAGGAATCCCATTACATTAGGTATGGTACACAGTAGTGATCCCTGCTTCCAAGAGCTTAAGCATCTGCTTTTAGATGTTTACTTTGCAACTGATTCTTGTTCTTTAGAGAAGAATAAAATCAAACTCTCCCCCCCCCTTTTTTTTTTGTAGGGTCCTTTCGGCCCCCCAGGACAAAAGGGAGAGGTAAGTGTCATCCATTTCAGACTGAGAGTCACAGAAATGTTAAGGAAACAAATGTGCTTATCACATCCCAGTGTAGCTTCTGATCTCATTGGGTTATGCAGCATCAAGGGTGGCATTGTCTTTTATTTTGGGCTCTGGTCCATTAATATAACCATTAGATGACCCTTAGTGTTGTTTTTTCATGCACACTCTGGGGCCAGTCTTCAAGGATGGCGACCTAAGTTCTATGTGTAAATCCCACATCTGTCTGTTGGAGTAGAAGCTCAGTAATGCAGAATGGGGGAGTGTATAATGAGCCCCGTCCAGCAATGCGCTTAAGCACAGGCTTAACTTCAACCATCGGAGTTGTGCCATTGATTATTGCTGAAAATGCCTAATGTGGAAAACAATTTATTCAAAACTCTGAGCACGTCACTTTGTGTTTCCCAACCCCTCTTGATGAGACAGAAATTTGGTCCTGGGAAGGATAAGATAAGCAGCACCCTCAAGAAGATATTAACTGCTGTGGCTATAATGGTGACATACCAAAAGGCAGGAACAGTTAGGTCTCCACGCTTGAAATCAAAGGCCCTCTCCACGCTACGGGGGAAAGCAAGCGAGCATCAGTGCTGTTGGTTCTGACATGGTTTCCCAGAATGGTGTTCTTCTGAGAACCATGCTGTAAATCTGCTACTGTGTGCCCTGTTTACGTCACTGGAATGGTTTGAATACCGTTGCTGCTAGCACTGTTCGAACTATAGCCTGGATATGGCCTAAAACATGCATAATAATCATGATAGGCATGTAAACCCATAAATTCGAGATGAGGAACATACATGGTCAGCATACCCACTATGTCAGTAAGAGAGAAAACAAGGAAGCCGGAAGAAAAGCTTAACTAAGAAATACTATGGAATAATAACAATACGCTGAGTCTCCTGTTTTAAGCTGTTTGGTTTCTCTTCCTCCTTAGTCAGGAAAAAGAGGCGAGCTGGGTCCTAAAGGTATACAAGGACCGAATGGGACTTCTGGTGTGCAAGGGATTCCAGGTCATCCAGGACCTATGGGCTACCAGGGAGAGCAAGGTATCCCCGGCATTACTGGAAAACCTGGCCCTCCAGTAAGTATCATCTGTTCCTTGATCACAGTCCTGCATTGGAAATGGATGAATGGGTAATAGGCAGTACCGGTTACGCTGGACTTTGGGTGCAGGGTTGACTCTGTTTAGAATAAGTTTACAAAATAAATTTTTGCCCTTTTGTTCACTAATGGACAAGTCTTACAGTACTTGCAGCATCAGTACCTGTGATGGGTATTCTGAAGCAAATCAGGCTACTGGGCTGAGAGGAAAGATCTCCTTCGCTATAAGTCAGTAAAGAAGAGGTCCTTAATGGCAGAAATAAAAAATGCCAGCCTCTGGGAGGCTGGATGGTCAGGGAATTTGTAATAGGATCTGTTACTTTGTAACTCTAGGTTGCTGGTTCAAATCTGGTGCAGGGGAGAAGTGAATGAAAGTTACCATCTCATGGACATCCAAGGTATGTCTACACTGCAATATAAGCCCAGGGTTCAAACTCAGGTTTAAGCCTAACCCCAATTCTGTCTACATACAAATCACATTAACCCCAGGCTCAGACCCAAGGTCCCAGGCCCCCCCCAGGGGTGGTGGGTCCGACTTGAGTCAAGCCAGGACCCAGGGTTCAAGCCCTATTGCTTTGCAGTGTGACGTAGCTCCACTGGACTCGTGCCAAAAGTATCCCACAATCCCACAGGCCGACTTTCTTTGTCCTCTGGATAGTCCAGTTTTGTGGACAGTCAAGTTTTCCCACACTGCACCATGAACAAATGGCTAGAGTGGCCACATTTTAGGAGGGCACTAGGAAGTCTGGGATATGGGTGAATGTGAGCCTGGATAATGCAGTACTGATGCTGGAGCCCCAGGATGAAATCCAAGGTTCAACAATTCCTAACCTGGGATTACAAATGAGCGTAGACCCTCCGGTCCTATTTTAGCAAACCCAGAGTCTGTTAACTCGAGTTCTACTAACCCTGGGCTTACACTGCAGTGTTGACATACCCTCAGAGGCCTGTGTGAAATGGGTTTGATGTTCACAGTCCAGTTCCCAATGGACAAGGGTCCACACCACCAAAACGACATCACAGCTGGTATTAATTGGTTCCCTTGGGGTGGTCCCCTGAGAATGACTAGGGCATGGAGCTGAACTAACTGCTTGTCCCTCCAGAGTAGTGTTGAAGAAGTGTTGAAGAAGCATGCACTGACGCTCCCTACGTTGCTCCTGTTCTGTGAATAAATGTAGACTATCTCCAAGGCTGTCAATACAGCACTAAAGTAACATAAAAATGTAAATAGATAATAGGAGCCTGGCCTGCCTGCTATAATTGTCTTAAGAGTAACACTAAACTGTGTAGGTCTCAATTGCTAAGTGTTCTCAGAGGGCAATTGGTTCCAGTGTGTTAATGTTGGCAACCGTTTGGTCAGATCAGAAAAGAAAAGGCCTAGTCCAGTGGATTTTAACATTTAAACATTATGGGCCAAAGATTAAAGGGGCTTTTAACCTGGACTTCAGCTTTGCAGGTGCAAATGACTGTGCCCAGAATTGCAAATGAGGGCACAAACATGAACAAATTAGAGGTCACCAGCATTAGACCGGCTTCAAATTTTGCACTTCCACCACTGGCATTGTGCATGCAAATCAGGTAACTGCACATCTAACTAGCAGATATGCAGAAGCAGTTTATTTATACAAACAGGTGTGCACACAAAATTTGCAAGCACAGAATTAAGACCCATTTCCAAAAATTTAAGGATTAGTTTCCTCTCAATGTGATGCGTTGTTAGGAGTTACCTGCATTCATTGGGGTTGGATGTGATGTGTGAAGTCATGTTTGTTCTCCATAACTGTGATAGCACTAAGAAAGTAAATTAATAGCAGTCAATAACTTTAAAATGCAAATCTGTCTCCTGTTGGGTCATTATAGTATTACTCACATTAGGGTCTGATTTGTTATTTTCCCCAAGCTTGAGTTTCACTTTTCAATAAAGGCCAAATAAATAACAAATTAAATATATGACTTGGAACATTAGCACCACAACATTCCCACTAACTTTAAAATCAACTTCATTAATATTACCACCACCCCAGGACCTTAAGGCTGAAGCTAATATTTTCTGAAGAAACTACTCTTTCTTCTTAATAAAAACTCTTCTGCTTGATATTGCAGTGCATTAGAAATAAGTTTCTTTCAGGGATCAATAGTTTGATGACAATCAATAATATGATTTTGTGTAAGGACTCTTTTGCCAATTGCAGGGCAAAGAGGCCAGTGAACAACACATAAGAGAACTCTGTGGGGGAATGATAAATGGTGAGTATAACTGGGAGATAGCTGAATTTTAATTATTGTCTGCATGAGAATATAGCTACACTTTATAGTCCGAGAGCACTTGTTTCTATTTAGTTTAACAATGATTGTAATAATCTGAGACATTAGGAATTCCATTCCAATGGGACTTGTATTACTAGCCAATCATTACAAAGTATAGTTTCCATTCACTGAATGGCTCATTGATATAGTTGCTGTTTTATGATGCCAAAGGTCATGGGATTTCATTCCTGATAGAGCCATAAAGTATTGCTTCAAAGAAATTATTTTATGTCTTTTGAATATTTTGCTTCTTGAAGATTGTGTTTCATTCACTTTTTGTGGCGGAAACTAAAACCTGCAAACCTATTTCAATTACTTGATTTCCATTAAACTTTGCTTCAAAATTATTTAAAGTGTTTTCATTTAGTTTATAAATAACATGAAAGAAAAAATTCATCAGTTTGCAAAGTGATTAGAAGTTTCTGAGCAAAAACCCCCACACAAGTCCAGAGGTTTATTATAATGTAAAACCATTTTTTGTCATCTTATCAAAATGCATTCACCGGATTCAGCTCAAGGCATCTCTGGTTGTGGGTTACCAGGACAGATTCTAACTTCGGAAATCCAGAGCCTATAATCTTCTCCTTTGATTGGATACACTTGGTGGCAAATGTCACATACCAGAAAAAGGTTTTCAAACTTCAGACACGGGCATAAGGCAAAAGAATTTATTTTTGGTTTTGTTATTTTTTTTTTTTCCAGAACAAATTGCACAGTTAGCTGCTAATTTGAGAAGGCCCTTGGCTCCGGGACTGATGGGTCGACCTGGCCCAGCGGGTCCCCCAGGTCCACCTGGGGCAATGGGAAGTGTTGGTCATCCCGGTGCTCGTGGTCCACCTGGATATAGAGGGCCGACAGGAGAACTTGGAGACCCTGGTCCCAGAGGTGAGTGAGATGAAATCAGCGGCAGCCTAATGAACCTGCTCCTGCTCCCTTAGAAGAAGTTTTCTCAGTGATTTCAAACTTCAGTGGTGCAGGGTGGTTAGAGTGGGGGAAGGGGTCAGGATTTTCTGTATTACAGTGCACTCCGTTTATAAGAATCACCGATATATGAATCAACTGCATATAGTGATCAAAACCACCGGGACAAAATGATTCCTATACTAAATACTCCAGTTGTAAGAATCAACCGCTTATAAGAATCAAATAATCCGGGACGGCTATGCACGGTAGTATATACTGCAGCATGTGCAGCTGCTGAAGCTCCAGTCATTAACAGGCACCTATTGTTTAGTTAACAAAGTAAATCCTCATCACTGTGATATACTTGGGTATAATGAGGAACGAGGCTTGTCTTGGGGATTTATGACCACTGTCCCCCTGAACTCCTCCCAGTATTTCCCCCTCCTGTTCCTGTGCCATCATCCATGACATTCCATTTGTCTGCAATAGCTTCCTCAGTAATACAGTAGAACTTCAGAGTTATGAACACCAGAGTTAGGCACTGACAGGGCGATAACACCTCATTTGGAACTCGAAGTACACAATCAGGCAGCAGCAGAAACACAAAAAAACAAATACAGTACAGTATTGTGTTAAACCTAAACTTTCCTTGTGCTGCTAGTGTGAGAATCATCCAGCCATGATGGCCAGTGCAAGTCTGCAGAGTGGTTCACTACAACACTGTGGTCTGCCCGTGGTGGGGGATGGATTTTGTTTCTCAAATCCATAAAAACCCAATCACCTGGGTTTTGAGGGGAAATCCGGAATTTTACCCATAAATAGCAAAGTTTTAGGACAAAAGACCTTTAGCACCAACCTAACTACCATTTGTAAGTGACATATACTTTTAGGACTAAATATAACTGTGTGTTTCTTGGAAGCAAGTGTGTTTGTTATTTTCATTAAACACAATTAATTAAGATGGCAAATTAGGACAAAGTTAGGTGGAGGGGGGGGGGGACAAAGGCAGAGTATGCTGCATCTCAAGGCTACTTAGGCCTGAGCCTACAGACCTTCCTCACATAAGCAAATGCTGCAAGATTGGGACTTTATTGTTAGCTATTTACACCTTACAATTAATGTGCAAACATTGCAAATTGGTAACAGTTGCTGAAAGCAAATCCAGCATTTGAAGATTTTAAAACTCCTAAATGTAAAGTATAGATGCTCTGTGATACATGAGATAAAACACTAGGGGGCAGCACACTAAAGAACTTGGTTCTGCAGAAATTTAACTTTTGCTTTTGGGAAGCCACTAGTAAATGTCTCATTTAGGGTTGCCAGCTTTCTAATCACAGAAACCGGAACGCCCTTATCCTGCCCATTCTCTGAGGCCCCGCCCCCGCTGACTCCATTCCCCCTACCTCCGTCGCTCGCTCTCCTCTACCCTCTAAGGTGACCAGATGTCCCGATTTTATAGGGACAGTCCCAATTTTTGGGTCTTTTTCTTATATAGTCTCCTATTACCCCCCACCCCCATCCTGATTTTTCACACTTGCTGTCTGGTCACCCTACTAGTATCCTCATTCACTTTCACCAGGCTGGGGCAGGGGGTTGGGGTGCGGGAGGGCTCCAGCTGGGGGTGTGGGCTCTGGGTGGGGCTGGGGATGAGGGTTTTGGGAGTGTGGAGGGGCTCAGAGCTGGGGCAGGGGTTGGGAAGTGCGAGGGGGCGCGGGCTTTGGCTGGGGGTGCAGGTTCTGGGGTGGGGCCGGGGATGAGGGGTTTGGAGTACAGGGGGGCTCAGGGCTGGGGTTGGGGTGTGGGCTTCAGGAGGGAGTTTTGGTGTGGGAGGGGGCTTAAGGCTGGGACAGGGGGGTTGTGGTGCAGGAAGGGGTGAAGAATGCTGGCTCTGGGAGGGAGTTAGTATGCAGGAGGGGGTTCTGACCTGGGGTTGGGGTGTAGAGGGGGTTTGCGGTGTGGGCTTACTTCAGGTGGCTCCCGGAAGCGGCCAGCATGTCCAGCTCCTAGGCGGAGGGGTCAGGGGACTCTGCGCACTGCCCACAGGGGCCACCCCCGCAGATCTCATTGGCTGCAGTTCCCGGCCAATGGGAGCTGCAGAGACGGCATGCCGGGCAGGGGCAGCACACGGCTGCTCCGCGCCTAATAGCCAGACAAGCCGGCCACTTTCAGGAGCCGTGCTGAGCTGAGCCAGAGCAGGCAGGAAGCCTGCCTTAGCCCTGCTGTGCCACCGACCAGACTTTTAGCAGCCTAGTCGGGAGCCCTTTTCAACCAGACATCTGGCAACCCTACTCTCATTATGATGTAATTGTGGAATGTACACAGATATAACCATTATAATTTAAAAGGTTTCATACACATGCAGCTATACCAGCGGTCCCCAAACTTTTTACCTTGTGCCCCCCAACCCCTGTCTGTCCCCCCAGAGCCAGGGCTGAGGGGGAGATGTGGACAGGGATAAGGGGGTCGAGGCTGGGGCCACAGCTGGGGCCACGGGTAGGGGCAGGGCTGAGAGCAGCAGCCGGGGCCTTGGGTGCAGGGCCGGCAGCCGGGGCACTGGGCATGGAGCCCAAGGCATGGTGCCCAGGGCATGGGGCCAAGAGAGGAGCTGGGTGACACTGTCTTCCCGTCGGGGCTAGCAGCAACACCCCCTTGAATGTTCCTCCATGCCGCACAGTTTGGGGATCTCTGAGCTATACTAATTAGGATAGTTGATTATTGCTGCCAAATGTATGGATTTTGGACCAGATTTTCAAAGGTAGTTAGGCTCCTAAAGATGCAGGTGCCTAATGGGATTTTCAGATGTGTCTAGGCCCTAACTCCCATTGATTTAAATGAAAGTTAGACATCTTGGTGCTTTTGGAAATCCAATGTAGGTGCCTAAACACCTTTGAAAATCTGGCCCTTTATCCTTAATATAAAATGATGGACAATTGTAAAGAGATCTGATTGGCTAATAAAAGTTCCACTAGTGAGAGTATGTGATTTTAAGATGCAGCCAATTATAATGAAAGTATAACTTTTTTAAATAAAAAATGAAAGTAGTAAATTCCAAGAAATGCAGAAACCGCAAAATGTGCACACCTGGGGCCCAAATCTGGCAATTGGATCCATGCAGGTAGCTTCTTGGCACTAAGTTTTGCATTACCCTTTATGCTGACAGGATTTTCCCCTCCACATATGAGGGCTAACTTGGCTGTCTCTGTAAAGTATTATTTAAATGTAAATGTCTTTACATCATTACAGGTGATACAGGTGAAAAGGGAGACAAAGGAGGCACTGGCATAGGTATTGATGGGCCTGATGGAGATCAAGGACTTCAAGGTAAGCTGATGCAGTATTTAGTATGACAGGAAAGTACCCAAATGACAGCAGTATGGCCTATACCTGTTTATTCAGGAATATGCTTTTATTTTTATGATAAATCTCCTCCTAGATAGACCTTTTCATAGTATTTTACGGGGACATTTTTACTGCATCTACAAATTCAGTAGAGGGACACAAGGGGAAGATTTCCCAAATGGCAAAAGAGAGTTGCTTTTGTGCTTAATTCTCCGATTTGTGCCTTTGGGAATCAACCCACATGAATCCTATTATTTCACCTTCAGTTGATAGCAGGTACAAAATTAGAGGCCAAGTTGAGGATCCGCTAAGACTTTAGGCTGAGATGTTCAAAGGACCTAAGGAAATTAGGTGTTCAAATCCCACTAAAATTCAATGGAGTTTGTACACCTAACTCTCTTAGGCTTTTTTGAAAATCCCAGCCTTACACATTTTTTGAACATCAAGGAGGCAACAATCACTATAGGCTAGAATAAACGCTGTTAGAGGGGCTGCGCGGCATGTGGTTTGTGCTATGTCTGAATTCCTTTCTCCCTACAGTTACCATGCTAATCTGGGTTACATGGTAGGAGAGAGATGACTCACTCAGAAGCCAGTTTTGAAATGATCAGCCACAGCAAAGTATGGTAGTCCCAAAAACAAGCAGACATATATGTAGGAACAACTATGAATTGGCAAACTTCTGCTGTCAGCTATTCCAGTGTAAATCCAAAGTAACTCCACTAAATCCAGTTCAGTTATTCCAGGGTTAGACCATTATAACAGAGCAGAATTTAGCCTGTGGCTCAAACCATTACCATATTTACTACAGATATCCTATACTCCAGAGAGCCATAATACAGCACTAGATATAACCCTCTTACAGCTTACAGATACCTACCTAATATTTTAAATTTTACATGCAAATAAAAGCCAGGATTTCACCCTAAACCATTTTTCTTTTCTCTTCTTTAAGGTCCACCAGGTGTAACTGGAATTAGTAAAGATGGTCGAGATGGTGCTCATGGTGAACCCGGTCTGCCAGGTGATCCTGGTGTACCTGGTGCAATAGGAGCTCAGGGAACTCCAGGAATCTGTGATACATCAGCCTGCATGGGTGCTGTTGGAGGAGGAGGATCCAAAAAATCTTCAGCACTAAAAGTGGAGAAGTGACTGAATATTTAAGTAAACAGTGAATTGTATGAAAAGAGTCAGAATCCTCCTAGTGATAAATGGACAAATATTCCTTTTATTAAAATGAATAAAATGGAGACTTTGACACAGTAATTCAGTTCCATGACACAGGAAAGCATCAGACAAAAACCTTTACTAAAAAGATGCATAAAACTGTTTCCCCACCTCCACCCCTTATTTTCCAGAATTTTTACTGCAAATCAGTCTCACTTTCCCTTCCTCCCCACTTTGTTGAAGAGACCTACAGGAGGAAGCGCTGCTCCTTTTACTGTCATCTCCCTAACTGTACAAAAGCTTGTGGCTATTTTGCATAAAGGCTTGAGTCTATGCTCACTGAATTCAGTAGTGGTTCAGGCACTAATTGAACATCATTGACCATGTATATTGGTTGTCCACCATGAATTATCAAACTGTACCTCAAACATTTGCCATGGCTAGTAAATGTTAAACCCTTTGCACTCTTGCAATCTAACTCTGCAAAGGGTGTAATGTATATATTATAATTTACAGGGGAGAGTTTTTGTATATTTCCATGTTATAATAAAGGATATTCAATAACAGCATCTTCACACCCTCTACTTCAGCTATTTGCACAGAATTTGTGAAAAAAAATCCCAAGTCAAAAAGGATGCTCTTCTCAACACCAGCCAAAATTACTGTATGAACTATTGTAAAAATAAAAGGAGATTTTTTTAACCTTTTTTTGTGATGCTGTAACTGTCATTATACACATCAAAGCTTGTTCTACCGAACCCCATCTTCCCCCAATTGTTTTTATTAGAATTATTTAGAAATAAATTGCTGCAAAATTGTGAATATCCGTGATTTAAAACAGTATTTATTTTGGGGTGACTTTTTTTGTACTATAAAACCTGTCAGCATCATCTGTTTTAAGAAATTAATAAAGCCACTTTTTCAGTTCATAAAATATACTATTTCTGTCCTGAACATTGCATCTTATTAACAAGTAGAGACATTTCTACTCTTTTAATATGAAAATATTTTGTGCACTTAAATAATTCACCATTTACAATATACCACTTTTGGACTAAAGCAACAATACAGGAAAATTGTTGGACAGTTTGTGCAAGAAGTATTTAAAATACTACTGTATTTTAAAAGCAATGCCAATAGCATTGTATGATTCTTTAGTCCTATGGGGATGTACGGTTCAATATGAACTTCAAATTTGAATTCCAATGCATATAATATTGTTTGTAAGATGTGTACTTATTATACAAGCACTAACCAATTTAATTTTCTCACTGTTTCAATTGCGAAATGGGCACTATAATGGCATCTTTATTTATTTATTTATTTATTTATTTTACATTTAACAGGAATGTACATTCATGACTGACTAAATACAACAGGACAGGTTGATGGTCTATAACAATTTCTAACAAGTTAAAATGGATTTTGGTAGCTATTGGGGGGAGAAAAATATTTAGTGGCTGTCATGACATTTTCTTGTTGCCTCTGGTCCCAAAGCTCTCTGAGAGGACACTGATCAATCAATATTGTTGGTAATTCATTTATCTTTCCATTTGAATAAAGAATGTTTTCTTTACTGTTCTATTTATATTTTGCAAGTCACTCTTGGATCCTGCAATTTCAAATTAGTCACAGGAGATGAAGTCCAGTATGTGGACATAAAATAATTGCTATGGAACATCATTAGGTATCAATACTTTCCATAAAACGCTGGGTATTTAGTTCAAATTACTTGATCTCCATTGGTGTGCTATTCTGTATGTTTTCCTGCATTGGACATGTTACTAATGAGTCAGCTCTTGTTAGTTTTAGTCTCCTGCCTGTTTTACCACAGAACACAGTCTCAAATTCCTAAAACCAAAAATACAAAGTAATTATTATCATGCTTAATGCAATACATATTTAAGTAAAATATTATTAAGCTACTAAGGGGCGGGCAAATCCTGCAACTGGTAAACCTTCGAGGGAATGATGGTCCAGTGGTTAGGATGCTAGCCTGGGCCATGAGACCTGGTTTCAATGTCCTGCTCTGCCTCAGACTGCCTGATTGACCCTGGGCAAGTCACTTAGGCCCAACTCCTCAAAGGTACCTAAGCAGAGTTAAGTGCCTAAATATCTTTGAGGATCTGGGCCTTAGCCTCTCCGTGCCTCAGTTCCCCATCTGTAAAATTGGGATAATAGGGTTTCACTACCTCACAGGCATGCTGGGAGGCTAAATACATTAACAATTGTGAGGTGTTTAGAAAACAATTGAATTGGGCAGAAAAAAAATTTGCCTGCTCCTACTGACTAAATACTGTAGGAGCCCCTTCCAGCTAATGTGACCCTTTATAACCCCCACAACAGTTCTGACAGAGAATGTTTGCAATTGTGCCTCCAGCACAACTGCATCCCCCAAACCCATCTTTGTAGTAGAACATAAGGAACCCCTGCAATGTGGTATTAAATGAACATGGAGCTCTCAGTTGGCTCCCAGCATAGTGCTCCCTTCTGCTGTGGAATCTTGTTGGTTTTGCTGCACTCAGAACCTGCCACAACTATTAGGGAAGGATAGAATTTGTTCCTCCATTTATGTGAACTTTTGTGTGTCAAATCAGTTAGCATTTTAGGAGAAAATTCTACTTTCAACTGGTCACATACAGCCTGTTAGTCAATGGATACTGCTTGTATATAGCTGAAGGCAAAACTTTTATTTTTGACTACAATTCTGCAATTTAAAGCTTAATTTTATGACAAATTGGGCAGCTTTTTCAGTGGACAAAACTTTGCGGACACAAATGCTCCAACCCCAAAGACTTCTGCATATGAATGCTAGTTTTCATAGTGCCTGCCCTGAGATGTCATTTTGAAAAGAGACTAGGAAATAAATCAGTTCTTGAAGTGCTGTATGCTGCCACCACCTCCCGGGAGGGACCATATACTAAAAAGGACACTGAAGGCTTCTGCTACATGGCCATTGTGCATGGGTGTCAAAAATCACCTCCGGTGGATGTCATCATTGGATAACATACATAATATGCATACAGAAAATTTATATATATATATATATATATATATGAGGGCTGTCAAGCGATTAAAAAATTAATCATGTTTAATTGCACTGTTAATAATAGAATACCATTTATTTAAATATTTTTGGATGTTTTCTACATTTTCAAATATATTGATTTCAATTACAACACAGAATACAAAGTGTATAGTGCTCACTTTATTTTTGATCACAAGTATTTGCACTGTAAAAAAACAAAAGAAATAGTATTTTTCAATTCACTTAATACAAATACTGTAGTGCAATCTCTTTATCATGAAAGTTGAACTTAAAAATCTAGAATTATGTAAAAAAAAGTGCATTGAAAAATTAAACAATGTAAAATTTTAGAGCCTGCAAGTCCACTCAGTCCTGCTTCTTGTTCAGCCAATTGCTCAGACAAACAAGTTTGTTTACATTTGCAGGAGATAATGCTGCCCGCTTCTGGTTTACGTTACCTGACAGTGAGAACAGGTGTTCTCATGGCACCGTGTCACAGATGTTCTCAAGGCACCGTGTTGCAAGATATTTATGTGCCAAATGCGCTAAAGATTGATATGTCCCTTCATGCTTCAACCACCATTCTAGGGGATATGCGTCCATGCTCAAGGCCGTCCCCACCCATATGCAAAGTACGCAGCTGCGTAGGGCACCAGGAAATTTGGGGCACCACATTTCCTCGTGCCCTACACAGCTGCGTGCTACACCAGACCCTGCTCCGCCCTCCCCACTCCACCCCTTCCCCAAAGCCTCCGCCCCCCGCCCCCACCCTGCCTCTGCCCACACATGCTCCGCCTCAGCCCAGCCCCCACTCTACTGCTTCCACAAAGCCCCCATCCCTGCCCCGCCTCTGCTCTGCCCCCACTCCTCTGAGGACTGCAGCAGGGGGCAGGCCTGCACTCACCAGCAGCAGGAAGTGCAACGACCCGGCCCTAGCCGCACCACTGGTAAATTCGGGGGGGGGGGCGGGCCCCAGTCCTCCATGGGGGGGCAGAAGCAAGCTTGGGGGGACAGGGGGGCAACCAACCCCACAGCACAAGCTTGCGGTGAGGACCGGGGTGG